CAATGTCATCTAAGGATCGATTACGAAATAAAAAGATATGAATAAACTATGAACAGCGCCATCTAGGAATTTGATTTATAATTAATAGGTGTATTATTAGACTAATCTAATAGCTTTGTCGAAACAGTGACATTACACAATGGCGGAACGTGCTTCAAATCACGTGACACACGGACAAAAAAAATCGCGACTTTAATTTTAAGATAATAGTGCTATTTTAAGACTCAAAATCAGAATCTCTATGTTTATTAGATGTAAATTTTAGTTTTTGTGCAATTTCATGAAATATTTTTCACCATTGCAACTACCTATTACAGCCAAAAAGGACACTAATAGTTTTTATAAAAAAAATAGATGTTAACGACAGTTTTGCCAGCTTTTTAGGTAGATTGGAACATTAAATATATATATATTTTAATGTGAATGTATACAATAGTAAAAGACGAACACATCAATAAAAAACTAAATACAAACGCAATGAAACTGTTTAAAAGTTATCATTTTAGGTTAGAACATTAGAAAAATTACAACGGTAATAGGATTTTCTTTATTATTATTATCAACAGTCACAGACCTTTCCTGTGGATGAAATCTAATCAAATTGAATAGGAGCTCTGCGGTCTTATTTTTTCTATTGTAATTTACAAATTATTAAGTCCCCAGTTTAAGGCTGTACCTACATAAGAAGAGAAACCGAGACGAAGTTATTGGCCTATGAATAAGATAAATCCCTATTATAAACGCAGACGATATTTCTAATTAGCATAAGCAAGTCAAAGCTTATTTTATAATTAATTACTAGCAAACCTTTACAATTATTGTAAAAGTTCTCAATCATAACCCTCAGTTACAGAGAACTCACATATAGGCATAATAAATTAGTGTTGGTGTTGGTAACTGTAATTTTTTTAACACTGTTTTAATAAATTGTCGTTCAGACACACAAATAATCTTTAAAAATATTACAATTCATTATTTCGAAAAAATAAACTAGGTTTAGCCCAGTTTCGTAAACGTCCATTAAAATTTTCATTAGTTTATAGCTACCCAGATAAATTTTACATTTATTAGAGGTTAAAGGTGTTAAGAATTTAAACATTAATGGACATATTATCGTAAGTCTGTCAAAACTGCTTATTCAACATTATGTTTCAAATGACCATGGAATGACGTCAAATTAATCCCAAAAAAAAGAAGCAGGAGTTTATCCACTAAAACTCAGCGATGTCCCTCGCATGGAAGGCGATGCACGGGATCGGCCCGGAGGCCATACACCGCGCAGTTCGCCCCCATTTCGGCCCGCCCTGAAAAGGGCAGGTCCGTCGCGGATTAGGAGTACGCCTCAGAGACATTCGAGACGCACCCCCAGACGAGGCGGAAGCGTGCAATACCGACCAGCGCGCGAACTGGCTGGCCAGCTGCCCCAGACTAGAGACTGGTGATGCGCAACTGTACATCTCCGGTCCCTCTTCCCTGTCTATTGGGAGGACCCACACAGGCAGAGCCCTTATCATGGATCCTCCCCCCCGTACGATCGCGATCACATTAGAGTTAGATTTTAATAACTTACTTTAGTTTAAGGCTTTAAGGTTTACTTATTTACTCAAAGTAAAATGAAAGTTGTTTACAATAATGAAATAAAGTAGTAAAGGTTTAGATATCCTCTCAATACTTTCCCAAGCTCCGGTATTCGACGTAAGAAAATTAGCAAAAATTGCTTAAATTATAACGAAGTCGATTCAACATAATATTTAAACAGATGAGAAACAATATTTTTATTTCCGTCTCACTCTTTTAGGCCATGTGCACAAACATGTAGCCAATCTCGAGGTCGGTCGAGACAATCTCCGACGACAAACTCTGGCGCAACATTCGCATCACCTTTGATAATAGTGTCGTAATCTTATTATGTTGCTTACCCACAGCATAGCATTATCATTGTGCGGAATTTAATGTGAGAACATCGGTGTTATTCCTATAGCATATTATTCAATCATTAAAAATTTACCGTTACTGTATTTTGAAATGCAGTAGCGACAATGGAATGCGAGATGTTCCTCTACTACGACAGGAATGTCGTCAGAAATTGGGTCACTTTTAATGAGATACGAGAATCTTTTAGATAAGAAGATAACTAACTACATTTTTAGAGTTCCGTGCCAAAAAAAAAAATCCAAACTCGGGATTTAAAAAAATTGTACTTGGTTGTCCGTCTGTTTCTCGTCTGTTAGAGCAGTTTTAATAATATATAGACAAATTTGATTTGTTTGGTACATATGTATAAGTTGATAACCCAAAGACAGTGGTGTAAAGTATATAAATAAATTTGAAACACGACAGCCACTTTTAGAGAGTAGGTAAATTAGAAAATTTGGAAGTTTTCTAAATTATATTGTATGACGCACGTGTCGTATTAAATAAAAGGGCTAAATAAAAATAATCAGATATTTTTTATATAATGTTCCATTATGATAAATATTTTTATAATACCATGAATCCCAATAATTTTGGTCAACATTCAAAATCATTAATTATTCGAACCTGGCAACTCAGGTGTATCTACTTAAGTTGCCAGGATCAGGATATCATTGAACATATTTGATTTGATACTCATATATAGATGCCTCACATTAAAACTTATTCACAAAACTTATTGTCCGGAGGTGTATTAGATACACCGTACAGGTACCTAATTACGTTATACACCTATCTGCAAGGTAAGCAGAAGGAGTGAACGCCACAAAGCTGTTTTTACACACCTTTTTCGCTTCGTTGAATTTATATTCAGGTAAACTAATCATGTTACATATACATTCTTTTTAACCTTTTGGTATTGTATGTTATTCCTTGGAATAAGAATACAGCCACCAATGGTCTTTAACACTCGGTTTAGCTGAGACAGGGACGGCGGGGTCTTTACAACGCTCGTTAGCAGGAACAAAGGGCAGCCGACATCAAACGAACCGTTTCTTTATGCGGGGCATCTACGACGACATTAATCACAAATTCCATGATTGGTTCTATCACTTCATTACCTTTAGAAGAAAACGGGAAGCAGGTAAACAGAAATAATAATAACCTCCTTCTAGAAAAGCAAGATGAAAACATTTTTCGTTTGAAGTTAAAAATTGAAGTACAAACGACTAAGTGTAGAGCGTCTTTATTGTGATGTGACTTTTTCTATTAGACATTGCAATTCGCAGTTCATAATCATAATATTTAACGTCGGTATCTAGAATATTCAAAGTTGAAAATATTAGATGCCCAGTAATGGAAAGTGCTACTCTAGTCCAGTAACACTAGAAGGTATGTATGAGAAGTCTAAGCTACTACTGACTACTCCTGGTAGCTACCGTTATATTACCAGACTTGCTACATTGTCTCTTCACATCTATTTTAAATGGCCCATGGTTTTAGAAAGTTGGAATCAGATAAGTAACACATGAAAAATTGATCCATAGACAACGATTAACTGTTTTACGTGTTTCGCTTTACTTCAATTCCAAGTTGCATTCGCAGGAGTGTGCTACTACCAGAGGCGCTTACTTTTCATCAGATATCATTATAAATATTTAGATGATTTTTAAATGATATGTCGATTACTTTTTGAATTGTGATGTGAACCAAAATCCTTCTTCTTTATAAAGTAAGAATAAATTATTGGAAAACGTCGCAAGACGAGAAAATAATTGTGACGTTTATGGACCTAGTGCAGTTTCAGTGTATTTTGATGCACGTCGCTCCGGTCAGCTTGTTACAGATAAAATGGATGCCATTTTTGAAAATGTGGAGCAAGATCGGCATATCTGTAGTTACGACGTACCTGAAGAACTGGGGATTGACCACAAAACAGTTTCAGCGCATTTGAAAAAAGCTAGGTACACAAATAAATTGGTAACTACATCATCACCAGCCTTATGGATGGTTAAGGAGGATGGGCCATGACCCTCCACGCTGGCCCAATGCGGATTGGAGGGTAACTACGGTAACTACATACTTAAATCAAATGTAAATAAACTTTATTAAAACATTTTCCCCGACCCATTATTATTAACCAAGTTTGTGTGTTGTGCTTTCAGCGTTTTACCTTCACACAGATTATGATGTTTAAAGCACCGTGTCAGTTCGGAAACTCAAGGAATTAAAATTGGGGAGATAACTTAGTATATGAATTAGTTCCTGATTGGTTATGACTTTAATTAATAGTAATAACCAATTTAATTTTATAAATTATAAAAATTCGTCAGTGTGTTGTATGCGGCAATGAAGGTCAATTAATCCAAATGTAACATGTATGATTACGGGCTTAAAAAATAATTTATTATAATTGAATGAATAAATAAATACAAAAACGATAACAAATTATCAAAATTAAGATTAATAGAATTTGCATATTAATAAGTAGTGATTATGTAAATTCTTTTATGAATATGATGCATTTTATCATTTACGTCTGACATTAATTTGCTGTAAATCGATGATTTTGCAAAAGTTTTTGCTTACTGTAAAGTGTAAAATTACCAAATTCCAAAGTCAATTTGTTTTGTTTAAGGTCATCTACCTAAATTTAATTTTATACCCTAAGCTAACATTTGAAAATACTTTTATTCTTAAAATAAATTTACTATAGTCAAAATCCAAATAATAATCTTAAATATATATCTATTTATAATGTATTGATCTCGTAACGACATGATTTTCTTAATGACGTTACTCCCACATGAGCTGGTGAGCTTCTTGCTCTTTCTTCTTATTAGCTAAAACACGTCCTGAACAGGTAGTAAGGAAATATGTTGGACGATTCAAAAGTACTTTTAAGAAGTCTATTAAAAAAATAGATAATACAGAAAACGATAGTGAAACAACGCACAGAAAACAATACATGGTGTTAAATGAAATTAAGATTTCCGTGAGGGTATTTTTGGGTGTCATTATTTTAGATAAAGAATTGTTAGTGTCGATGCAAACGACCGGTCAAAATAGCTGTATTGTTGTCGTGATCATGATACGTCTAGATGTGGCGCGTGTCGGGGCTCCCCTACTCGCCAGTGGGTACCGTTAGCCGGATGCCGAGGCGCACGCTCGTTATGCAACTGATATGATCCGTCGCCGGCTGCTTGCACACCAATACACCAATATTACACTCATGAGAAAGGATTGGGTCATTGTCTTAGAAATATTGAAACAAACCTTTAGCCACGAAAAATTTTAATCGATCTTCTTTTTAAAGAAAAAGAAACTAGAAGAATTAAGGTAATCTGTTTCTTATTTTGTAATGTAACAGTGCCGAGTAAATGATTACATAGGAGTTACTGGGAGAAGCAACCTGCAGGCTTTCTCCTGAAGCCCTTATACGTGTCACGCATTTACGTAACATTGACTAGAGTTCGCATCGCGAAAACACTGCTTAAAGTCGTGACTCACCATAATAGATTATGAGATGAAAATATAAATTTCATATAACCACACACAACCAAATAAAAAAATAAAAAACAAAGATTAAGTCGGAATCTTGCACAGAGTAATATTTTTTTTTTTGGATTTCAACTGAAGTCTGTTTTCGTAATAGGCTATAGGGTTGCCATCATGAAAGGATAGGAACAACATCGGATTCGAGGTTGTGTATAACTAGAGCGCTTATTTTTTGCCTGTTTTCTTCAATAACTTCTAAATAATATATCTTAAAATTATATAATAGATTACCTTTGATATTCTCACAATAAGTATTCATCTCTCATTTTAAGTGTCACACAGTGCTTATAGTTCGCAAATACTTTTTTTATATCCTAACCCCTTAGTTAGAAAAGTAAGAAAATCATTTTCCTTTGAGTCATATTTTCAATTCAATCAGAAAAAATGTAAAATGTCACGGTAAACAAAATCATAATAACATATCTTTATTATCTCTCTTGAAAATGATTACCTTTCTAAAATAATATTTGTTCCTTTTGGTCCTAAAGCCTGTCCCAAATATCGACAATATGAAATCCTTCTTCTACCCACACATCTTTCTCTGAAAAACAGATTAATCATAAAACTAGGAAAAAAGTTTTTCATTACATTTAAACATTCTATTTTACCGAATTGGTTAAGCTCTCGTCACTAATTAATTACACTTAAGATTTTTTATATTGTGTTGTAAATATTTAAATGAAAGCATGTATTTATTATATGGTTTTGTTTTTACAAACCATCGTCGTCAGAGCTACATTTAAATGCAACTTACGTATAACTTTGCAGAGGATTTCTTTAAGCTGCAACTTTTAAGCTTTTTAATTGAGTAGTTTAACTTATGAGAAAAATACGCGAGTGACTAATGCACGCACTAGATAGCAACCCTCCGATTCGTTAGGCCCGCGATAACTGCCAGATTATCGTCTCTACTAGCAATTTGTAGGGATTTGCAGCCGACCTATAGGGCAAATAAAGTAATCGCCCCTCATTAGACCACTGTGTACTCCCGGTAGACCTATTCGAGATATATTTGGATCGCCAATAATCCCCAGGATGAACCTTGTTTATGAAGGATGATGTCAGTTTCAGTAACAACTTTGACCATAGCCAGATGCTACTCGACTGTTATTAATTAATGCTAAATCGCTACTTTAAGTAAAGCTCTGATTATTAAATCACGTCCGCCCTAGGCAAAACTCTAGAACGACACCCATGAAAAGCTTATAACAAAATAAAATAATAAATAGTAAACAACATCACATACATTGCTCAGATTCCAATATGAGTAGTTAAGCCTCGTATTATGAAGTATCTAAGACAACGAAGGTACCACTACCCGAATGGGAATCTAACCTGGGACCCCAGAGATGGCAACACCTTGAAACCGGTTCGGCTACGGATAATTGACTAATGTAGTTACACCGATTAAATAGTGTGATATTTTGTCAGTAACAAAAGAAACTCCTGAAGTACTAGCCTGATACGAATACGAGAAAAACGGAAATAATTCGATATAAGCCTGGAATATTTTTAATCGAGTTTGTGAGCCAATTACAAGAGACTATATATAAGAATACATCTCATTTTAGCTACGGAAGGTATAAAAAAACATCAAGTCAAAAAACCTTCATTTCCTTCACGCAAAATTACTACACGACTTTTTTCACAAATTTTGGTTTTATTTATCATAGCGACAATGAAAATTACTGAAATCCAACTAAAAAATTTACAGGAAATAGTTTATTTTTAACTTTTTTTTTGTACTTTAATATGATAAAACTTTTATTTAAAGTATTTCTGAGTGGATTTTAATGATTTTAGTAGTTTAACTCAAAAGTCTGCTGCATATATTGCGTGTTATATTTTTGCTTCATAAATAATTATAAGGCTATTGGTATGCAATATTCCCATGGAAATTTTCATTGGATTCAAAACAAAATATACTTAACGCAATATAATAATATCCATTGAAGTCGTATTTCATTGTTAATATTATTGATTTTTTTCCAAATATTTTTTAAATATTTATTGTCCGTGTTATAGAAAAACATGAGTTTCCAAATATAATATTAGGAAGATTTATGTATTTCATGGAAGTAACATAAGTAACAGCGTGAAAATACGTAGAAGTCACTTTATATGTATTTTGTTTATCATGCCATTGAGAAATTAAAGGAATTTTATTTTTTTTACTAATAATCCGAAAGAAAATGTCGTTGGATTAATTCATATATTAAAAAGGAAATATATGATACCCTCATAATAAAAAAAAAACAGCTGTTATGTTTTAATGTTTGATCTCCATACTGAAAGTTGGTATTTGTATCAGGCTATATACTGCTAGTCTGAGACTTAAATCCATTTTCACTAACCTAGAACAAGGCATAGCTTAACTAGAAAAAGCCTAATATTAAGAATCGCCTAAGCAGATTAATTTAATTCTGAATAACTAATTTTCTTTTATACCTTGACATTTTAAGGACCCGTCTTATACACAATATGTCATATTGCCTAGCGCAAGGTGCCGCATAAAGAATAACTCTAGACATTACTTATTTTCGTTAGGTGGTTCCTAGTCAATGGTGAAATACATTTTTTCCTTAGGCGATTTCTAAATATTTAGGCGACAGAATTGGGCGACTCCTAAGATTAGAGAAAATGGGCATTATACTTTTGAACTCGCGGACATTCATGGTCAAAGAACATGAAAGTATTTTTTTAAAGTACTGCGTTTATTTAAATAATTAGAGACAAATCTTAGAGTTGGTTTAATTCTCTAATATCAAAACAAATTATGCCATGCCACCCCCAAATACGACTGCCCTAAGCAGTTGCCTAATTTGCCTATATGGACGAGCCAGCACTGCGTCTACGTGATAATCTAGACACTATGGTAAAATTCACAAAATTTTAGAATTTTAAGGAACCTGAAGGTAAACAAAAGTATTCTTTGTTATCACATAATCCAACCCAGTACTATCGGTGTGCTAAGATTCATAATCGCTCAAGAGAAATAACCTACACCAAAATTATACCATGAGTTTTCTGTATTAACAGTACGCAAACTAATTATAAAATCTATCATACTGAAACAGCATCGTATTATACTGCCTCCCATTATTTCATCAAGACGAATAGCTAAATTATTTTACGTTCCCACCTATAAAACTACATTTACATAGAAATTGTTCAAGTTATCAAGGCCCCTCGTTATACAACAAAATCAGCAAAGAAATTTCAAGCCTACGCGAAAAAAACATTTGTCAAAACTTAATTATGTAGTTACTGAAAAACTAATGATATGAGGTACACATACTTACTCCTTTTCAATATTATTTTACTTTCTAATATTTTTATTAATACACAATAATCCTATTAATATTATAAAGGCGAAAGTTTGTAAGTATGGATGTATGGATGTTTGTTACTCTTTCACGAAAAAACTACTGGACGGATTTGGATAAAACTTTACAGCAATATAGGTTATACATCAGAATAACACATAGGGTACTTTTTACTGGGAAAACTTCTCACTCCCACGGGATACCGACTTCCACGCGGACGAAGTCGCGGGCGTCCACTAGTATTTATATATAAATTTCGATATTTAACAAATTTACAAAGAAAATAAAACTAAATGAAATCTGTTTTTATAGCACATTTCGGGTTACTGGAAGTTAAGCGTTTGCTATATGTTGTCTTTGCATATAATGTTCATGAGTCCATAATGGAGGACGACACTGCGCTGCCGCAATACGGTTTTGTAATCTGTGCGGAGGGTAGATGTCATATCGTGCATTTTACTTTTTGTAATCTCTTGTATCTTACCAATCAATTTTGTTTGTTTAAAACTTATTAGGCAGAAAGTATCCTATATTATAAAAAAAAAAGCTATGATTTTTGCTATGAAAACTATAATATGGTTATATATGTGGAGTGATAGTGTTGTGGTAGTTCAAGTAAATTTTTACAAACGGTTCGTTGTTTTTAGGCAAGTTTATTTAAATATTATATTACTTACTACTTCGTTATTAGTAATTTTATTATAAAATTATAATAGAGATTTTACAATAATTCTATAATTATTTATTACAGACATTAAAATTAAATATATAATGAATATGACAAATATGGGAAAAAATATTTGCTCAAAAGTTCAGTCCTTTTATATAATCCTGCAAGTTATATTTATATTTGCAATTTCAATTTTAAGGTAGGTACCAAATGTGTTTGTTACTTATGAATTTTATTTGGATGGTTAATTAAGTACAGAGCGCATACTGATGTCACTGGTACTGGTACGAAAAAAAGATTTACACACTTAATTTTTCGTTTATAAAAAAACACGTTAATTAACAGACTTATTAAAAAAATACGTCTGTCTGTTTGCATACACTTCAGTTTGGAAATTTGTTTTTGTAGAATAAGAAAATAAGAACCTATCTACATATAATGTCGGCAAAATATCAACGCAATTTTTCTGCGTTCTTAGAATAATTGAGTACAAAATTACTAAATAATACTTTCGATCATAATTTCGATGTATACAATGGCAATCAATTTTTAAAAATCAAACGTTTAAACTTTATTTTGTAATTTTTATTATCAATTTTATTCGCAATAATACATATTTATATATAGAAGTTTGAACGCATTAACATTAACAAACATACTAGGTATAATTGAAATGAATAAAATTATTATCTTCTAGAGATGTAAGTTGATGTAGGTAATGTGTCAAATTTTTAATGTGTCAAATTAGTTGATTTTCAAGTATTCCCTCAAAGTATTAAAAAATAAATAAAGAAATATGTTAGACTTGTAAAACCTGAAAAGCCGTTTGATACCAGAAGCACAGAAATTGCCCATACTTTGACAACGGTGCCTGTCGTCTAATGTAAATGAGTCATGTGCAAAGGATGTGAAGTTGAAAAATTCTACATTAATCGTAGTAAGTGCGTCATTAATAAAAAATATATATTCGGCGCTCCACTTTCGAGTCTACTGTCTCGTTTTCCTTTTTAAAGATTATACTTACAATATATATAACAGTAGACCAGCTAGGCCTACCATTTCATAGTGATGTGTGAAACTAATGGTAGGTAACTGTCTTCCAAATCTCAGTTTTATCACCAACTTTAATGTAGTATTGTTTATTTTTCAAATTCAAGATTGGTGCAGTCTTATATAATTCATTACTTAGGTATGATAAATCTTATACATACTTTTTAAATGTAGTAACTGTTTTGACACTTATAAAATATGGTTCTATGATTAAATCAAACAACAGCAATAGATATATCAAATAAATAAATAAATAAATGTTACTCATATTAAATAAAATAACGTTTGCTTTCATTGATATTTACATTGGCAACATTGCTATTTAACAATTAGAGAGGTTGAGAAATATATATGTTCTAAAATGACTAAAGTACACCATCATATATCTTTTTCCCTGATTACTATCTTACATGCATTATATGAAATATCTATAATATTCTCAATGCTTACTTGCAATGGTTGTAGTGTGAAGATAGAGGATAGGATCCAATAACACAAAATTTTATGGATATTAATTATAAAACTAATAGAAGGTTTATTCTGCATGCATTTATTCATGCCAAGAATTCTACTGATAATGATACACTTCATATTTATTAACTCAATTTAAAAAATGCAAATAAAAACAACTGTAGTATTATATTTAAAAGAAAAAATGTTTATTTCATAAAAAGCACTAATAAGCAAACATACAAGCATTTCACAACGCAATTTAAAACAATTTTTAATTGACAAAACAATTGAAAGCAGAGTGAATAATTAAGTATAAAAAACAGTTTAAATCTTAAAGATGCTTGATTTTTTAAATCTATTAGTGGGCAACAAAAACACCGAGTACTTAAAATGCAAACAAGCAGTGAAACAGCGTAGGTGGCAGTTTGACAAGGTTCTCCTCTCACCTTGCGGGATCGGTGGAGCAGCTTCCAACGGGGTCGCCACTGCCACCATCAACTGCGCCAGGGCCTCCACAACCCACAGCAGGCCCCACATGTCCCATAACCACATCACAGCACAACACTATCTCATTATTGGCACAACATTCACACAACTTAACCAATACAAACACCTAACTATGCTAATAACTCCTATTGGCACAATCATACTTTAGAACAATTCATGTCGCGATACTGTTTCTATTGTGTATCTTCTTCATAATCTATCACATCATTATTAATTTAAAGTACGCAGTGAGATCAAGATGAATACAGAAAACAAAGAGTTACTGCACGTCATAACATTCCTCCGAGAGCCACAAATATACCCTTCTCGTCTCGATGTCTGATTTGACTGTTCGTTTCGTTCAACTGTTCAATTTCATTCAACAATCAGCTAGAACCATAGAGTTTATAGAGAAAACCAGCAGGCTAGTGTCCTACTAGTGCTGTGCATTGACGTTTTGACTCGATTTAATGGTTTGAAACGAAGATATCGATTGATTTCCGAATAATGTATTTTATTTATTACAGGTCGGTTATTGAATTGGTGTGTAAATCATGTACTATTAATTTCAGTACGTAGAAAATATGTATTTAAAAATTGTGAGACTGAGATATAAAATAATAACCATTATTTAAGTTTGATGTTGAATATCAGAGTAATAAATTTTTTGACCTTAGTACCAAACTCCTTTCTTTTTGTTATATTTTGTTTTGCAATAGCAAGGAAAATATGGTGTAATTTTTGGCAAATCTCCTCTATCCATACTCATGCACAAAGTTGCAATTTTTTCTAAATAAGGTAACTTCATTTGAGCATCTCGCGGCTTCAAGAAATCGCTAGCAGGTATCCAAACATCATCTAAAAATCGTGCCGGTTGCGAAAAAGCACCTTCAAATGTTAACCCAAAAGAGCCTTCAACAAAAAGTTATAGTTAAAATCCTACATATATAAGTCAGTAACGTACTCACAATAGGTATTATTTTATCAGTACCCTTGCTTTTAAGATAAAACAAATGTACATACCATCACAATGAATTCCAAGGTTAACGATATTAGTCGGACTAGTGTCAAAAAGCCACATCTGTACCACATTTAGGACAGCGGTTGCTTTATTCAAAGTAATTTGTGTTTTTGTCATTTTCCTCTAAAATTTAAATTTCAATAATTAGAACAACAATTTTCATTTTAAATACATTTTTAGGTAAGTATATCTATAATATTCTTTAAAAAAAATAAGTACGTTACTTTTCACAAATTTACTAGAGAACTGTAACTTTGCATATAGTTAACAGTCAAATACTGTCAGTATATGATCCTTTGTAGTATTGTTCACTTACTGACAAAAAATTAAATATTTCTTTTAATAAATATTAATATTACTTTGTGACATGAAGTGTTTAAATGTAAATTTGATTATATGATCCTAGTTGGTCGAAGTAAATAAATAATAATTATTATTATAACCAACCTTTGTCTCTGCAACTTTAGTCCATAATATTTCATCAAAATACATCAAGTACTCCATAGTACGCATTTTTGGAGTGAGTCGTCCAATCGTCAATGAAGAGTTTTTCACTTTGGTATATCTATTATATGGTTCGAATGTATTATATTTATGAATGGTTGTTCTTATATCTACCAAATGATTAACTCCAACAAATCCCCATACTGGTGAACAAAACATATTCCTCATTGGTACTTCTGCAATGTCAGCAGCCAAGGCAGCAATATCTAATCCAAGGTCAGAAGTAGCGACTACTATATTTCGTTTAGAGACATTTGTCACCAAATTCATTAGCACAGTAGCATTATAACACGCCGGTCCTAAATTTGGAAAAAGTATATACATTTTGCGAAATGCCGATGCATTTATATACATTGCTAATTTTGACATCATTTTCTTGTTTGCTTGAAGCCAATCACCTATGCTACTTTCAGCACTGAAACCAGATATTAACCATAAATATTAAAAGTTTGTTGACCTATTCTGATTAAATTTTGACTCTTTACTTAAACTTTTACTTACTTAAATGGGACATGATTTAGAACAATTAATAAATCTGTATGTGTTAGAGCCATTCCTATTTTATTCACTACTTTTACAACTTTTCCAGGATTATTTGACATAATGTAGAAGCATTCTCTTTCAATAAATTCCATGAACAGTTCAGAACATTTTTCATCATAAATATATATTTTAGAAATAGTTTTATCTCCGACCGACATTTCTAATAATCCTGAGATTACGTGCATCGCTAAAGGCAATCCTGTTCCAGATATACAAATGGTGAATTTATTTTTGACACGTTTCTCAAAAATTTCAGGAGAATCTTTTGTAACTTTCAATATGTCATTTTCATTCTTTACTTTGATTTGATATTGCGATAAATTTTCTACCAAACCTTTGAATTTTTCAGATGATAAGAAAGAGTCAAACTGGTAGTAAGAAAAGCAATAATCCAAAAATTCTGAAGCACCACCTATGTAATAAGGTTTGCTACCATCCATTAGTAACTCTTTCCAAATTATCGGAGATCCCAAATGATGCCATTTATTCTTTTCATTTATTTTAAATAACCAATCCTATAAAAAATATCAATTTTTATAAAATGTACATATCCAGTGTTAAATGGAAGTTGTATATAACAAACCGGAAGGTACTTATACCTACTAGAGTTTCTTGCGGGCAGTTGCCCGCGTGCCTATCGTGTCAATTATAATTACGCTAAATTAGTTCTGTGCAATCTCACTGTACAAAAAGGCGAAATAACAAATAATTTAGATAAAGATTTGTTTACTTTTCGAACCCTGAGAAATATCTCTCAAAAAGTCTGAATATCTTGTAAAAAAATCAATGTCCCCGTTCATTTCACATCCGATATGATTTATTATGACAATGCAGTCACATTGTAGGTGACATAGTTTGTAAATTTATGGCAGAAGACCATGCTCAGTGTCAGACACTGAGGAGTCGCCATGAAACTATTAATGTCCCCGCTGCTAACGAACAAGGGCAGACATCCAAACCATTACATGGAAGACCACTGTGGTCTCCCACTCTACGCATGTGCACGAGGTGAACCTTGTGGGCGCTAGACTTTAGTTCGGCAGAAAAAATCGTCTCTTCAAGGCGACAGATCTAAAATCGATCGTGTTCGAAATAAGTTTTATTTCCTTTGATTAGAATTTATACTATTTAAAATATTGATAAGTTTAAAATATTGATAAGTGTGAATCAACGAAGGATGATCAAGATTTTTCCGTCCAAAACGATAGAACTATGCAAGTTTAGATAAGTACTCTATCATATAATAGACGACGGCTAATAGGCAATATTTCCAGCAATGAGTTTCTTCAATTAAAAAATCATAAAATATTAGGTAGAGGATACCTAAGACGTAAATGGCACGATTGTAGTGTAATTATGCATAGTTTCATCATGTTATTATAAATCTGTTCAAAATTGATAAGAAATCGCGACGTGGGACAGCATCGTTGAAATCAAAACTATCCCGAAAATTCATGACGGGATGGCAACCCTAAACAGGGGTGCGACCACCTTATCTCTAGCCGAAGTCACGACAACTTATCGATGTTATTGCGATATTTCGTTTCATTTTACTAGTTTAACGCTTAAAACAGCAAACATTAAATAATAGATTTTTTAACTTCAAAAACTAGTGTTTGGGATTTGGGTGAATCCATTGAATACAAACAAAAAGTTTGAATGAGAAAGTATTTAAAAAAAAAGAAAGCACTAAAAAAGTATCTCTGCTAGATGGCGACCCTAGCAAAAGTTGATTTTTGCAGGAAACGAATGGCCCAAAGACAGTCATTGCCATTCCTATTAACTAACATATAAAAAACTTAAATTTGAAAAGTTCGAAACTCTTATATCAATACCAATACGAAAAAGTACAATTAGAATTGAGCTTTGAAAACTGATTTACTTTTATACATTTAAAAAAATCGGAAGGGTTGTCATGGAGAAAGTCAAGTTAAAGTCAAAATAATCTTTATTCAAATACACTTCTTAAAAGTACTTTTGAATCGTCCAACATTTTTTTTCCCTACCACTTGTTCAGGACGTCTTTTGGCTGATAAGAAGAACGAGCAAGAAACTCACCAGCTCTAATAAGAGTAATGACATTTACAATAACCATGTCATTACCTACCATCAATACATTATAAACAGAGAAATCAAGAAAGTGCCGTAGCGACATCTAGTTCGATTTCGGGAACTTATGTTTTTTTAAATACTTCCTCATTACTACGTGTGACCACATGGGAGTTGCAACCATTTATAAGGCATTTTCGTCTGAGATAAAATGTCAAAAAATATAATCTGCAAAAATTATACATTATTTCGATTAAAATTAAATAAAATATGTCTTCTCACGATATTGTCTTAAACTTTAAGACTTAAAGGATTACAACAATTTTTAATGTTGTCAAGTACCCTATTATGAATTCAACAGCAGTGTTACCCTACCAACTTAGGCTGGTTTTAGTATCACGCTGCCTGTCGGCACTGACAGGCTAATATATATGGGCTCTATAGAAGCGTTCTATAGTAACGCCGACCGTTCAGCGCTGCCGAACGCGTTGCACGCTCAGCGGCACCGATGCCGCTGAGCGGTCGGCGATAATAATCGCACGTGTGCCTTCGCTATCAGCGGTGAATGATTTTTCCTTGGTCTAGTAGAAACAGAAACAGGAAGCAAAGCTAAAATACGGTTAGGTTTAACAAGTTGAAGTACCTATTAACAAAATAACCTCTTCATGCAACTACAACAAATCAAATTAAAAAATAAAGTGTATTTATAAAAATGTGCCGTACAATGCATTATGCCAACACATGGTCAAGGAACGGTAGCAATTTCTTTTTATATGAAAAATCATCAGCTCGCTCTTACTTCTATAGGTCTTTGTAATTGAATCTAAGATATTTACCTTCCAGTCAACAATGGACTTTTGAATAATGTCGTAACAAAAATTGGGAAGATTTTGTGCTAAGTGGTCAGCAACCAAACATATTTGAGCAAATACATCGCATTGCGATTTTCCAGCTATTACTATTCGAAATCCCATCTAGAAAAAAGAAATTACCTAAAGTAAATTCAACTTCTTTTCTTTTAATGCCTTACTTTATGTCAAACCAAAGAATAAAATTAGACGGTAAGCTCAGAAAAATTAAAGTATGCATATGCAAGAGTGTATAAAATCTATGATGTAAGTGTTACTTTATGGTTGATATAAATTGTCTATGATTGTAATACCAGAAAACATTTCACTCCCTATATAGTAATTGTTTTCTGTGCATTTAGTGCCGTTGGAGAGACACATTTCTGTGTTGTAACTTGACGTTTTCGTAATTTATTATTGCCTTACTATGATGTTATATTTCAATTGGTATTCAATTATATTACCCCTTTTTAAGGTGACTCCCTACTTAATACTAATTTGAATGCGTTTTTCCATAAAGTTAAGAGGTTCTCTCTGTCATCTTGACACTGAAAGATAACTTTACAATATTTGACATCTTGTTGATGTGTGGTGTGGATTTAAATTTTATACTGCAGTGATTGTGTATAGAATCTAATGAATTATGCAAAGAGAAAAATAATATTTAATGAAGTTATTGAAATCAGAACAATATAACACAAGGTAATACAATAAGTCTTCAATACCGGACTGCAGAAGTCGTTAACCTTAATTTGTTCAAACTCAAGAATAAATGACCGTAGACCAAATCAAATCAAAAATAATTATCTGGAAAAAATAACATTATATGTTATTGAAACAGCATAACAAAGTGAATTAGCATGATGATGGCATGTCGAAACTGGGGATTTTGTGACATAAATATCAGTAAAACATTTGATCTAAACAAACTCGAATCGATACAGAAACTTGGATATAATACTATTGCTATAAATTCGCATGTAGCTGAACAAAGTGAAGAGCCAAAAAAGAAAAAGCGAAAAGGTGACAATAAAGACAAAAAAGATTTAATACCAGATCCAATTGATATTCCAAAAGAAGTCACCAATAGTGTGAAACTTAATATATTACAGCGAGTAACAATAGAATTTTCAGATTCAAGTGTAGCGCACAAGTTAAATCAATCTGAGAGTCTAAAAAAATATGATATAATTGCTGTAATCCCAAAAACCTTGCAAGCTTTCCAATATGCATGTGGTACTATGGATATTGACCTAATAACATTTGAACCTGAGAACAGAATACCATTTAAAGTTAACAGAAAATTGTACAGGCAAGCTATAGAGCGTGGGATATTCTTTGAAATCATGTACTCACCTGCAATCCGAGATTCTACATCTAGAAAGAATATAATTAGTACAGCTCATACATACCATGCTGTAGGAAAATCTAAGAACATTGTAGTAACTAGTGGTGCTGAAAATAATTTACATATTAGAGGCGTACATGATGTCATTAATTTAGGTTTCATATTAGGCCTGAATAATAATGAAAGCTTAGAAGTTGTAAGGACAAATGCAAGAAAACTCATACTAAAAGCGGAAGGTAGAAGATGTGGGAAACACTATGTAAAAGTTACAGCTTTAGATGAATCCAACGAAACAAAAGCTTAATATTATAATTTAATAAATATATTTTTATTAATAAAATCATTGCTCTTTGATTACATTTTATTATATAACATATTTAAGTAAATAAAGTTTATAAACATCACAGGTGAGGAATTTTATGTTCATTCTAGTTTTTAGAATATGTATTTGTCTTGTTTTTACTCTGATTTCCTGGAATTATCTTCATTTTGTACATTTATTGTCTGTTCCATTGACACTCTATCAGCAGAGACACATCCATTTGCAGTAGATTTTTCTTCTGTTATACTAAACATATTAGTTATCCACTTGAATCTGCACAAAAAAGGAAACAAAATCGATCCTATTAGATTTATACAATGTTTTTTTATTAAAAACTGAGGAAAACAGTGATAATTGCTTATCAGAGGTATTCTTGACCTTCAATGTACATAGCTATTGTTAGTTAACATCGGCAACCTGTTGCATGCTGGCACTGAACCTAATAACATGTGACACTGGTCAGCCATACAATGAAATGAAGCTTACTTTAAGTATGGCAGTTAGTGATTAAATGAAAAGCAATTAAATAAGCAATGAATATCTCTATAGACTTTTAGTACAATAAATACAGAGGGACAAATAAAAAGAAAATTTTATTTTTTAAGTGTATTAATTCAAATTCAATCTCAACATTGATACAAGATATGTAATAAATACAAAATGTATAAAAAAGCACACTTTTGATATATTTTTATGCTCACTAAAATAATAACTTGCTGCACCCTACTTTGAACATCCTCTAATCTACCTATGTCCTAGGGTATATATACATTACATTCTATATAAGATTTAATTGTGATACCACTTGAATATAGACAGTAGCACCACATAATTTCTAACTTCAATCACAATGTAACTCTTTATTTGCACAGAATAAGCTGCAATGTGTGCAGATTAGTAATGTTAGTGGATGAAATGTTATTCATAAGTAATTGTCAGAGAGAAAGCCATAAAACATATTCCATCTGCAATAATAACCTTCGAGATCTACAGCGACTAGAAATTAAACCAAAGAGCCTCAGGAGATTATAAATAGACATTGCAGATTAAACTGATGTGTAAGACTATGTGAGTACTGGTATTATTTTGTCATTGTTGACTTATGTTTCTGTCACATTTAATAAGAATTTTAAATTTCAAATTAGGGTTGAATTTCTTTATATTTTGTAATGGTCACCTATGTGCCTATGGCAGAATTGTGATTGACACAAAGTACCAATTAAAAGATAGGATATTAGATAGATAGGAGTGCGCGCGCCACCGTAAAGATTTTCGGACATGGTGACAGAAAGTAACCAGACGCACATAGCCTATCTGAACACAAGTAACAAACAGCAAACTCATGCTTAAAGTAAATTATATCAAAGCAGTCTTTTGAATGTCTTTTGTTACATTACAATTCAGAAAAAAAAAAACATAAATAAAATAAACAGTACTATTCTTTTAAATATCTAACTTAAACTTAAAGAGTTACCACAAAGTAAGATACTTATAATTTATAATGTCATGGCAAATATCATCTTGACCTTGATTTTAACTAACCAATTAATCACACACAAGAAATTATACAAAATAAATTTTTGGGAATACATTTAACCATAAATATAACCAAGTTCAGTCTCATTTGAAATAAAACAATTTATAATTCATTCTAGTCTTTCCTCAATAACTTCATATCAACAATAGTAATACATTAAAATTATGACACATTACAAATTGTTAAATAAATTAAAATTAAATAAAAATAAATGCCAACAATACCATTCAAATAAATTACAGCACTAAATTGGATGTTACATTACCCTGAATTAATTAAAAGTTTTGCTATTTTTCTAGATTTTACAATACTTTCATTTTGTATGCATATTTGACCACAGTAAACTTCTAATGTGTATTTTTCACAGTTAAAAATAAACAATGAAATAATTAGTATATATTTTAGTTGTTAATGGTCAGATCATAAAAAACCATAACAGCGCAAAATTAACTTTTCGAAATTAGAGCCAACTTTAAATATACAACTCAACTCAATAATTTTGCACTTGAAGGAGCAAATATGTAAACATTTTTCACAGCATCACACACATTGCTCAGATACTATATTAAGTAGCTAAAACACTTGTATAAAGGAAATCTGAAATAACCAAGGTACCACAACACCCAGACCAGGGACAATAAAGAAATGTTCATTTACTAGATTGACTCGACCGGAAATCGAATTCGGAACCTCAGAGATAACCTTTGAAACCAGCATGCGAGTCACTCTGCCACAGAAGTCGTCAATAAACATGTAATCCATTCAAAATTATTATTTTTTATATATTTACTCCTTGAAGCAAAAGTGATTAAACTTAATTGTTATAGTCTATCACATTATCTTTAAATTCATAGACGTCTTATACCAGACTGATCAACTATCAATCTTACAAGATTATTGTCAATTTTTTTTCTCACACCATACCAGTCTCAAACCAAAGGAGTCTTTACTCCATGGCAATAATAAAACGGAAAAGCATTTAAACATTGATAAATAAAATAAACACACAAACACTTCATAAACTTACACACAAACAATCTTATTATAAAACGATGACTAAATTAAATACCAGGTTTAAACCCTTATTCGCCCAAAATAAGTCGACACGACGTTTCCTCTTCTGTCTGTGTCAATTTGTTTTAGATGGCCAACGATTTAAAACAAGCATTAACTTTAGTCTTAATTTTATATCCTGTTAACAAATACGAAAACTATGACATTATCTCAAAATAGTAGATCGATTTGAGAACATCTTTGAGCTGGTTGCAAAGTTCAACATTATACTAGACAGTTTTAAGTCTATAATCGTTCGTCTTGCAAGATTGACAGTTGATCGGTACGAGTCAGTTGTTGAGGAAAGACACACAGTGAGCGACCGTGTTGACATTTTCCACCAACCTGTTGTATAATTCGCGGCGTACGCTGGCAGTGAACTTGCTGACCAGGCACAGGGTCGCTGTGGCCGCAAATATTGCATTATACAGAAGAACCAACTTGAAGTTGCCGAGCCACTCGATGCGACCGAACTCGCCGAGAAGATCGAAATTCGTTATACCTGCAAATGATTTAATAAGTTTAACATTTTTGAAAGTGATAAAAAGTTTTTTTTTTACCTCACAATTAATGTCGCGAGATACCACAGTAACGACTATGGCAGCGTCGCTAATTAAATCGTTATATACTACATAGTTACAGTAACCGGCACAAAAATAAATACTTAGCTATAAAAATATAAAACAGGACTTCCAAACATCTTATAAAAGTGGAAACTAATAATTATTTTACAAGACAATTCATATATTCAAGCCACTTCAAAAGTCGATCGATAATATTTAAAAACCTATTTCGGTTAAGACGCTATAATATATCACGAAAATGTAAATGCTATAATATTTCGTATCTTGAGATACGATCTTAACCTACGAAATATATATTTCGAATCTTAAGATAACCTACGAAACATGGATATACATATTATAGTATCTTAACCCAGGCCCGGATCAGCGATTGTTATTAACAGGGGCAAAAACTTCGTATAGCACCCTACCTCAACTCAGCCCCGTGGTCGTTCTTATTTTAACTGTAAGTATGTATTATATAATGATTTGTGTGCCCCCACCAATCCCTAGACCCGGGCCTGTTTTAACCGTCTGCTACGACCTTGAACGTGCTCACCTAGTATCTTGACGAGCAGCGGCTGCGCGGTGGAGTGCGCGAGCAGTAGCGCGCACGTGGCTATGATGCGCGCGAGCGGCGTGCGGCGCGCGCGCGGCAACACGCGCAGCGCCCGCAGCGGCGCGCTCAGCCCGGTGAGCGACGCCGCGTGCAAGTACAGTATCAGGAACGCCTCTAGCGTCGCGCCCGCCCAACCCAGCTTCGATAACGAAGCGATGCCCAGAGTGAATTGCTGCGGAAAATTATCTTCTGTTATGGATGGTTTACACGTGATTAAGTAGAACTTTATCTGATTTTTTTAAGTGATTTACACTTGGTATCAGTTGAGATTTGTACTTTTCTCAATTCAAAAACTACGTGTACGTGTAAACACACAAATAAGTAGCAATTTAAAATATAGATAACTAATTATGAGCATTTTATATTTTTTTTTTTAATAACATAGACATACTTATTTGTATTTTCAACACGTAGTTAATCACTTAGTTAAGTTAAAAATCTACTCACTACGTATCTATTTAATTACGTATAAACCGGCCATCAGCCAGAAAAATAATAGCAACGACATTTTCGAATTTGTTTATTATAAGATTTCGAAAATTGTTTATGATAATACACATTGAACTAAAATCTACATATAAAGACAAACCTAATTAATAAGGTAATGGTCATTTTTTTTAAGCAAACAATACATAATGTGCGTTTTTTTTCTGCTGCAGTTAGTTTTGCTCCTTCAGATTTATTTAATACAAAAAAATTACTTCATTATACTATGAAGTCATTAAAAAAAATCTATATTATCTGGGTTTGGGTAACTACAGTATCTTAGAGATTTTGATTTTCTTCTTTTTTCTTCTTTTTTATTTGAGACTTCCAATGCGCAACGACGTTTTTATATACTATAATCAAAGTTTGATAAAACTATATCAAACTTTGATTAGACATGTAAAACAATAACGCCTTTACACTACTGAAAAAACATTTTGTTTTATTAACCTACAGTACATGTTCAAGCTCTGTTAAACAAAAAAAGACATACTCTTGTACTAAGCGGCACCGCCTTTATCCCAATCAGCAGCTCCAATATATTTTGCAGCACCATCAGCACCGTTATAGTAGTTAAAGCGAGCAGCAGTAACATTGCTAGTGGGTACACAACGTTACGCTGGAATGATGATGTCTTACGTTGATTTTCCACCTCCTGCAACAAAAGAACATAAAAGAAAATAACGACCTGCCCTGCGATTCTGTAACAATCCAGACCCGAATTCAAATTCACTCATGTGTCCGAATTCTCGTCATTTAGTATAGAAATCATATTGATTAAATTTTTTTGTATAAAAATACTAAACAAAATTGATTGATTAAACATGTTTTAGATATTTTAATCCTATATCATTTCGAAACTCACTTCACTTATGTCACGAAACATTATTACCAATTCAAGTTTGAGCGGATGCCGCTTTTTGAAGTGAATTCGGACACCTGAGTGGATTCGAATTCGGGTTTGAAGTTTTACAGAATCACAGGGCTGGTCACAAAAAAAATAGAATTCGTGTTGTGGACATCATCAAACAAAGTAAAAGATGAAAAAAAACCGTTAGCTTTTTTTAAACTTTGTGGCTCCAATGCCTCTTACGATTTTTTACGAATTGCTTTGAAAATTTGTATACCTGGTACATATATTTCTATTTATATCTGTATTAATAATGAGAACTTATTTTAACTAACTAAATATCTAAATATCATTTTAACTAACTAAATATCGCGAATATATTGACAGCGTCAAAAACCATTGTATTTCTAATCTACCCTAAGCGGAAATATTTTATTAACAATATAAATTATAAAGATATGAAGTTTCTTTTCTAATTCAATACGGTGCATCATCTTTAAGATGCATGCAAGCATAATATTTTATATTATTCATATGGATAAACATGTTTACTTAATATTATATTCCACATCCATCGATAGAACATAAAGGTTATTTAAAAATAACCACATTACATACTATAACAAAATTTTATTAATAGTTTGGTCATGCGTCCGTAATGTATTGGTGTATGACATTTCTTATCGGGATTGTTTTTGTCCATTAATAGCTTAATGTAGCTGGCTAAGTAACGATAAAACTTCTACATACCTTTATGCATTAATGTAAAACCTATTCATTAATAATAAAACATAAATAATACTGTTATTATAAATTTAATATATTAAATGCAACACTTACGCAGTTACTTTTTTTGCAAACTGTACTTAAGATATTTAAAGAAGAAATTTACCAAATATAATAATTCAGTTGGATTTATTTTTTAGTTGAGCAAAAAAAATACATTTATGTATTAATAAAAATAATAAATAGTAACAGGTTGTACTATTTTTATATAAAAATAATAATACACAGATGGTTTATTAAATTCCTTTGTTCAGCCTACCGGGAGATTGCTGTGTATACCAGCCATTACGTAATTTCTATTATACAGTTCTATAAAAACCATCGACTCACAAAATAGAGATTATTTCAATCAGTCTGCGGTGGCTGGCGTGTTTCCATCATCAGAAAATAAATTAAATGTCCGGTGATAAATGAACGTCACTCAATAGTGAGACAACCAATGTAGAAACTTTTATAGGTATTCAAACGAATTTTGACGATATATTTTGTTCCACTATAGTTAAAGACATAGCATTATTATCGACTATATTACTTTTTGTCTTCTCGAATTTATGGTAATAATATTTTGTTGATAACTAAACACATTTAATTAAATTTAGTACACTGATACACAAATATATCCAAACGGGGAGTGAATACAAGGGGGTTACCACCACCTCTTATAGCTAATGTTTAATCCGTGCAACGAGCGGGACTGCGCTACACGGAACAACAGTGGTGTCCCTCTTGCTGCACGGATTAAGCATTGTTATAAGAGCTCATAGTTAGGCCCCAGGTGCTCAGTGACTATTATTAGAATTCTGAAATCAACGCAGCCGAGGTCCCGGGCATATACGAGTTGTTATTACTAATGAAAAACAAAATAAAATCATTGACCGATCGCTTTTGTGTGCGCGGCAGCCGGGCACCAAAATGGATTGGTCAAATAGATTATTGTAATATTGTTTGTCAGATTATTAAAGAATTTTATATATTTTCTACAAAAGTGTGACGTAGCGAGCCCCCACTCCTTAACTTTAATGCCTGTTATCGAAGCCATTTCTTATTAAATTGAAGCAAAAAAACTTATCTAATATTTTTCTATTATCTGCATGACTGACTGACTAAATTGGATTTCTTTTTTTTTACCCAGACATCAGTCCTATTACAGTGTCATTTCAGTTATAAAACCAAAATGTATTTTCTAGAAATGAATTAACCTTTATTATTGTTTTGACAAAAATAAGTTTCAGAGATAGTATCATCTATTTTAATCCTTTGCAAGAAATGTATCGCATTTCAGGTTTCCCTCTATATCTGCGAAAAATTCTAAAATATATTATAATTTTGACAGTAAGCATTCGGAAAATGTTATGTTTTAGTTCATAAGATAACAAATAAATGATATTAAACTTTTAATATATTCTTTTATTACAAAAAAAGAAACAAAGAAGCTTCAGTTGTATAGCTGGCAGACAAGAGACCAACATCAGCGCGTTTGTTTACAAAACCAACTGACGTCATGATTGATTACAGACCAGAACAACATGACGTTCAACAACTTTTTCATCAAATTCATTCAAATATACAAAATATAAGAACACATACACTGAAGGTATAATATATAACAAATACCAAATTTCTACCTAGTTAAGATAAATAAAGTCTTGCTATATTTGGATCACTAGTCAACAACCATTATTGGTATTCTGAGACTTTAGACACTTTAACTAGAGATACAGAGTATACGTTATTCAAATTACAGATAACGAATACTTAAAATACAGAGGTTCTTTCTAATTATTTATATGTTTGATTTCTTTTGTTCATCAATACTACTACTAGCTTTCCGCCCCGCGGTTTGCTCGTGTTGAATTTGTTTATTATCGTCTTTGGTAGCTATAAAAACTACCCTATGTCCATTTCCAAAGTCCACTCTATCTGTTATCAAATTTCATTTAAATTGATTCAATAGTTTAGGCGTGAAACACACAAACAGATATAACTACTTTCTCCTTTACCATATTAGTAACTATAGATTATAAAGAGGACCGATTTTATTATTTATTTGTTTGCATTTAATAGGCTCCGAAACAACTGGACTATATATAACTTGCGCGGGCGAAGTCGCTGGAAAACAGCTTGTTAATATAATAACATACCTTTCGCATGGCCACGACTCTATGTAACCTTTCGTTGAGGCCAGCCTGGAGCGCGCCATTCCTTAGCCTCAATAGAGGTGTCTCTTTACAACTCATAGAGGTATTCTTAGCATCTTTCAACAGCGATATATCAGCGTCGACGGGCGCCGATATATCACCACGGTCAGGGTACATCGGCTCCGGCGATATGTAACCTACACCTGAATAGAAGAATGAAACACTTGAGTTACAAAGGCACGTAACATTTGTTATTAATATTTAAATAGTTGGTGAAAGCGTCATCGCGACGCACATATTTGCTCGGAGCGAATGCGCATGGATAAAACAAACCGAGACGTAGATAAACACATATAGAATCGGAGTCACTTTCATACTTCACTGACATAAATGTCGAATTCAAACATTGTGATCATCATTATCACTATTAATGTTCCTACTGCTGAGGCACAGGCCTTTCCCATTGATCTAATGGAATAGGGAAATTGGGTTTATTTATTTATAAATGGTACACAAACAATAGAGAAACCTACAAACTAATTTAAAGTTATAACTCAAAACCCACCACAAAGACCCAGGCGTTTCCGATTGCAGATAGTTTTAACAGGGAGCAACGGCTTAACGTGACTTTAAACAACGTTAATTACTTTAAGTAGGCAGAAATTTCACGCATTTGTAATGGGATGCCTCTTGTACTTTGACAAAGTCAGAGCGTTTTAAAGCAGATATGAAAATAATGATAAGTAAATCTAAGACTGTACATATGTGTGGAAACATTGTATCGGTCGCAGAGAAAGTTCTATTAAAATTAAATCAATCAGCGCTCGAAGTTTAACGATAAAGTCGGCCTTTTAGCATCATCGCGCATCAACTCATAAGTGCAAATCAAGAATAGTTGGTACGGGCGCCGTCATCAAACCAAAAAAAAAAGAACTATGAAGAAACCGGCATATATTACTAGTTTCTTTGTTAATAATAATATATCATCGTAGTCACGTCAGCGTCACTCCTATTCGTGATTCCAATTCTCGATAAAAATTTTAAACACGGAACGTCTCGCTTAACATTCAATGCGTAGGTACTCAATTACGCTATACCTTGATTATTACAATTGCTAATCATAAGTAAATATTCACTATACAGAATTAAGATGACCATCAATGCAAGATTAGATTGTTAAAAATATTCAAGTGGTACTCTTCGCGACTATGCGTTGTTAACAAAGGTCATATTTTACACGCTAGGAAGTGATTTTGCAGCATATTAAAATTACGAAGTGAGCGAACAAAACAGAAGTTCAATAAGATTTTAACCTTAAAAGCTCTGGTTTTACTATATAAGGATATATATTTTTATAACTATTTTATGCTCTTCACATTCCTTTTCTAAAGTATGCATTTTCAGAATCCAAATAATAAATTGCATCTATATTCTAGTAATATATTTCACAGGATATAAAAACTGTTTTTATATTTTAAATTTCCTTTCCAGATTTGCGGTCATTGCCAAGGATAAATCGACGCGACACGCTTCAATCTGTCGTCGTTAAACCTGTTCAAGATTTCTTATGTCACACTTAAAACAAATAATTACCATCGATGGAAGTAATTTTCTAAAATCAACTAACCTGTAGAAACGGCATTGTCAATCCGTCGTTTTATGGTTTCCTCCTCGAAAGAGTACACGTAATACTCCTCATTGAGATCCCTCAGGAATTGCGGCTTTACGAGTACTCCGCCCACAACTCCAAATAGCCTCACGAAGCCCAAAGGTGTGAACACTAAGACAAAAACACAAATTAAAAAATACTTCCTTCTGCACCACTGTCACAGTTAAGAGGCTTATTATATAATCTTTATTGATAGAAAGCGAACTTCAGGTCTGGATGATGATAGTATGCAGTGATAGGCGTAAAAGTGTTCTTCGATTCGAGTCCTTTCGTAATGGGCGCATTAAATACTTTTGCCTAGTGCGCACAAGATTCCTGAATAGTTTCATACTAATAGACACAAACTTAGATAAGACCAAGTCGATGCACCTCGCAAGACCAATATTTCAGCAATTACGTATTGATAAATATAACACACGAATTCATAATATTTGTCACCACCCAATCATCTAGAATTTCGTCTGCAAATGAACGATGGTAAAAAAATAAATGTGCCTAAGTGCTACATCCTCTTTCTACTCAATATCTAAATAATTTTTCTCTGTTAATTCACTTCTTTGCAGGTAATTAAGTTATATTGTTTTGCATATTGTAACAAAGATAATTTTAAACATTACGTCTTGATGCCCCCAACGTGATTTCGTATGTTTTGATTAAGTACTCGCAAAGTGCGTATTATTGCATTTCGAAACACGGAGCGTTGTAATATAAATAAATCTTTTCACGATGATTTCGAGTGAACCTCTTTGACGCATTGTATAACTTTGCATGACCTTAGTGACGGTTGCTATGTACGTTAATATGTCAATAACACAGGTGAAATCGTAAACAAAGCTTGTTTTATCATATCGAAACCAAAGTGCTACAAAAAATTTAATATGAGTTACAAGAGTATCTTGACTAATCCTGCATTGAAAGATTATGAAGCAATGCAAAATAATGATGAATTTAACAATTTCATGAAACGAGTAGGTGAAGTTTCGAATCTCGTAAGAGACATGGCTAGTGGAGATAAAGAAAAAGCCGATGCTGCTCAAACAGTGGCCGAACAATACCTTGAGGGCAAAATCATCGCCGACGATAACATAGAAATGAAGATTAAGGACGATAGAACTGTAATTAACCAGAAAGCATTTCAATCATTGGAGAAGATGGACACGGTGAGTCGTCATAAAATGCCTGCTGAAAGAAAAGACAAATGGACGCGCGCCAAAAATATTATAAAACATATTGAAAGTCAGGGTCAAGTCTACGTAATCTCGTGACCTCAACTTGCAATTCACTGATAGACGTGTGTTTTCAATTGCATCCCCAACACGTACATTACGAGTGCCGATTGGATATAGAATCTTTTTCTATAACCATACTAATGAAGCACGAGGTTATATTATTAGGAGTATCACGATACACTAAGATGCCAAACATCATAATAGTCACAGCGATGAATGTAGATATACTGCGACTGTATTTAGGTCGATGTGTGTTTAAATTGCCCAATATTTTTCATAGCACATTATGCGAGTTGAGGCATCTAGTACGAGTTTATTGTTGTCTAAAATAAAGCAATATTGTTCATCTTAATCTTCACAAAATAAAAAGTGAATCGACCGATGAAGCGGGATGTTGTGCCGCATTACTGCCAGTTATATCTAGCGGATATTTTCATTATCACATTAACGCAGAAATAACGTTATAATGAAAAATAGTCGGACAACTAACAACAATGCCACACGCGGCACCTACTTTCGCGAGCGTTCAATAAATTATTGGCAACAATGCTTTAAAGAAAATAAATGTTAGAGATCATTCGTAAAACATTTTTTTTTTTCTCTACACATTGTACAGCGCTTGAAGATCGGCAAAATGATTTATCTATTTGTGGTAACTTCGTTGTTTCAGGCTATGCGTAATACGAGGGCTTTAGCTACTTACCTTGAAATCTGAACAATGAATGTGATGTCGTCTAATATTGACTCTTATATGTAGCTCATCAAATGTTACTAAAAATTTTGTATTATCAAAGTTTTTTCCAGAGTTGGGTATCACTGACTAAATAATTGAACCTTGTGCAAAATAATAACCTAAACCTAAAAGACAAGATATAAGAAGGCTAATAATAAACTATAGATTAAGTATGTATTCACGCATATAATAAGGTTAACACTGTTTATGAATTAACAGAATGAAATCGACAAAGATGCCTGGATGGCGGAAGTGAGCAAAGACGCGGAGAAACGAGCCCTCGACCGCAAGATCCGTCGCGAGAAAGCAGACACCCTAAACACACAGGCTATCAAAGCATTCCGCCGCCAGGAATACGACAAAGCGCTATCCTGTTACAACCGCGCTATTGAACAGGTCAAGGACAACCCGATGTTGTACTGCGATCGTTCTCTGACCAATATCAAACTTGGCAACTATGATAAGGTATATTTTAAAATAATTCATACACATTGAAGGAAACCATCGTTTTCACTTGAAAAATATATGCTATTTTGAAGTAAATCCAATGGATGTTAATGTGCACCTATTACATTAGCAGTTAAGACCGACATCAGGTACCTAGACATTTTACCCATAATAAAAAAAAAACTAAGCAAAAAAATCAAAAGAAAAATCTAGTGCTCTTACTGTAAATAAAGCTATTGGGTCATAACTGTGAAGAATTTTAAACTAGACTAAACGAGGTCACTGAACCACTCTATGTATAATTCGCCCACAATATTCAATTGCTTATCGCTAGCACTGACGATTCAAATCACATATATAATATAGCTTTTCAATCATAAGTTCAATCATTATTATTTAGAATAATGTGAATATAGTAATATAGTAACTGAATAAGTAATTTTAACGATACATAACATAACTTAGGTTACTTTAAGTCTGCTAACTAATAACGACAGTAAATATAAAACAATTTCGGTAAATACGTCAACAGATTCCATTCAACGTTAAAGAGTGAAGACCTTAAAAGATAAGACACGATATGGACTTTGCGACTATCTTGCACTTGCTTTTAACATAATATATTATTGACTACAGTTAAATATTTACGCTTATATTTGAAGGTTACACAAAAAAAAGAAACAAAAAATATTTAACCCACTATTTATAAAAATTTGCTAATCTTATTAGAATCGCACTAATCGCTTCTTTATATTAGCAATAATATATACTATAGTGAATGTTTAAACGGTGGCTGATGGAAAAGGAAGGAAGAATACATATTGCGCCGACTATATAATTATTGTAAAATTATTAGGAAAAGGGCAAATGAAATGTAAATATTGACTAAAGCTGACTCAAATCCTAGTGCCTAATCTTATTAACACAACACATGCATTCATTTTTTCTCAGGTTATCAACGATTGTGACTTGGCTATTCGTCTCAACGAAAATAGTTTCAAAGCACGCCTCTACAAAACGAAGGCTTACAAAGAATTAGAAGAAACAGACAAATATACGGAATGCAGAAAGGAGTTAGACGAAATGTTTGCTCATCACGAGGATCTTATTAAATACTTCTTGGATAAAAAACAAAATATTTTGGAAGATGAAGAAGACTAATTTTAAAGCTACGGATTAATGTTAATAAAATTGTTCTATTGCATTGATTCGGCACGTTTTTCATACGAATTTATCATGAAATTCATTTACGACGCGGCATACATATCCTTATATGTGCCCCAATTTCGAAATAACCGTTCGATTGTGTTGGTTAATTTCAAATTATTATCAGTTAGTGAAATAAAAAGGATTATTTTATAGAATCTTTTATTACGTTAACCTGCATCGAAAATGATAATATCGATAGATCAGATATGTTCATATCTAAATCCGGTTGGGAAATTATGAATTGATAGCAGTATATCTTTAACGATAAAATTAATTAGATGTTGCTACGTTTTAATTTAACCATCAATTACAGAAACATAATATGCAGTTTTAAAATGACTATATATACAACAATAAGATAATAAACAAAAGCACTCTAATGTCCGAGAGTTCTTTCTATTTCGGTACGCGTGCGTACTATTTGAAGATTTATATAATGGATCAAGTCTAAATATTAAAAGTCTAAACTTGATCGGGAATCAGACATAATTAATCTGAAGAAAATATCTATACTAATATTATAAAAAGGAACTTTGATTGCTGATTGGTTTGTTTGCAATGAATGGGCTCTGTAACTACAGGACCAATTTTAAAAATTGGTTCATTTAAGAGAAACAACATCTAAGATGGTGAGATAGGCTATAATTTACGCAGGCTAAGTTACGGGAAGGACAGATAACTGTAAAATTATTACGAATAAAATAATCTAGGTACTGAATATTAAGGATATAGTCTGATAATGAGTGAAGTTTAAACTACATCTGGCTGGAATAAAGCATCTTGAGTTATTTTTGAAGATACCTATTATGTGACTAAATGTCGTTCCTACTATGAGTTTTTAATTTGTATAATTAAAAGAGGATGTAACATCATAGAATGTACACTTTGATTGAACTTTAAGATATTTATAATTTCGGTCGTGTAACACTGAAGGGTCGGTGCAAATCTGGAGGAAGGTTCGCACAACGTCTCCAAGTCCAGATCAGCGTTTTTTTACCCAGGGCAAAAACTTCGTATGGTGCCCTTCCTTTATCTACTAACCCCCTCTCCCCCACCCCCCCAAGCTCTGTGAAGCTGAATTTTATATTATCAATTTTATACAGTATATGATATTTTTAGTAATTTTGAAGCATCTCCGTCCTATCGTAGCCTATAATGTGTATAAAGAGATTTGTAAAGCTAATTATTTTGATAATTATAAACAGGTATTACATAATAATGATTTTGGCGTATCCACCCCAATACTGGCGCCCAAGGCAAGAACCAGGCGCGTTTGTACGCGACGGATCATGAGATATAAAAAAAGAATGGCTCCTTTGGCTCTAATGTTCGGATTTAGAAAAGAATCACAAGCTGTATCAAGTGGCTTATTAGTTTTTGCTCCATTTTTATCTAGCCAGACGTACAAATCAGTATTACTGCATGATAACATCACAAAAATAATCTTGAATTGCATCATATTATTACCAAGTCGTGTTGACGACTACAGACGAAGCCGGGACCTACGGCTTTAGCGCGCCTTTTGAAGCACGTAGGAGCTCGAGATATATAATAAACTTTTGGTCACTCATCTTATGACCGAGCCTAGCAAAACTTGCTTAACTTCCGTATGTGTTTTTATCCCATCTGTACACACAACTGGATGATATAAAGACATTTGGAAGATTATAGTTTGTAAGGGCATTCGATGTCGCGTTATCAGCTTATTCAATGTTTTGAATGATAAATGCTTCTCATTCATGTATTTATTTGATCATAAAATAGTTTTAATTGGCAATTTATCACATTTCACTTTAAATATTACGTTACGCATTGTAATTACGTTCTTATCACGATAAGTTCGTGTCACGTTTGGCAAATGCTTGAATCAATATCTAGTAACAACTAAAATAATTTATTATTCAATTCTTACAAATTCAATTAATTAAATTCTATTTAGTCTGACGGTAAAATAATATAAATATTGAATACGTATTGTTTTAGTTGGGGGAGGCCTATGCCCAGCAGTGGGCGTCTCTCGGCTAAAATGATGATGATGATGATGATTGTTTTAGTTCAATATAACAAGAAATGACTAGGATAATAGGCATTAAATTTGAGGAGTGAGGGTCCGCCATATCACAAATTACATAACAAATAAAAATTAGTTATATCTATTGTCTCTTCACGCGAAAACGATGTTTTTAGATGAAATTTATCATACAAATAACTTGGACAAACATAGGATAGGTACTTTACATCCCAGCAGCAAAAATTTTCACAGATTACAATGTCGAAACACTAACACAATATATAATCGTGCATATAAACTTACCTAATAACATTAAGACACCCACAAAAGACACACAGGAATACAGGAAAGGCAGATATGTCCATAAATCTGTGAACAAAAATAGGATACATTATTAATATATATAGATCATCCACGTCGATCCAAAAAGAGCTCTCTATATTTCGACGCTTGCTCTCCCATTATCTTGTTTTAAAAAGATCTAAAAAGGAAATATTTGATCGTTTGTTTATTGACATTTACTACTTGATAGATCTTTTTTTTATTATTTCACCTACGAGTAACTACATCATACGCGGGTGAAGGTGAAAGATAGGCTGTAATTTACACGATCGAAGTCGCGGGGAAAAGAGCTAGTTAAAAAACAAATTATTAAGTTTCCCATACAAATATTTATGTTACATTAAAAGTTTAGTTTGAAGTTCATATTATTATTATGTGAAAGCAATAAACTCAAAAAACAGTGGAAGTCAATTTGCAGAAACAAATTTATAGAGTAAAATCAAGAAGAAACCATTAGCGGAGCGCGATAAGATTTGTTGCACCGAGTACATTTGTAATAAACGTTAACTGCTACAACTACTCAATCATTGATAAAATACTAACAGCGTATCTTAATACATAAAGTGTATTTTTGTTCACAGTTTGTATTAAATCATTAGTTTAATTTTTTTTTCATTTACATTCAGGTAAGTTCGGCATCGGTAAATATTATAATCCACAGGCGGAACCTTTATGTATAAGCGAGAGGAACCAATATAAAGAAATCTAACTTGGTAAAATTAAGCTAATATGATAAAAAGTAGATAATGATAATCCTATTAATATTATATGTGAAAGTTTCTTTATTGACACACCGAAACTACGATTTTGATGAAATTTGGTATACAGGTGACTTAGATAATAGGACACTTTTTATCCCACTAAACATTTCCCTAGGGACAACGGTGAAGCCGCTGACGAAAACTAGTAAATAAAATAAATTTCGGCACCGTATTATGTTGTTGTAACATTACTCTTTCCGGCTGAGAGGAGGCGCGAGCGCACGCACCCACTAACATTGACTTCCAAACAATCGCGGCGAGCACCATTCACGCGCAATTAAACATGAACACAACTACAAATGTGCGCCTGTGTTTATGCATCGAATATCGAGTGACGAGAAAACGAATATATAACGACAATACGACTGAGAACTTTAATAATCATGTTGTTAGCTAAATCATTTGTAACTTAGTTTTCTTCCCATATATATAAACTACATTAAATATTTATTTAAATTATATAAATGAGCTAGTGCTCAAACAAATACAAAAATACTTTTTGACGGCGACGCAAATAAATTTCGAAACGTGCAATCATATTTCAAATAACAATGATGCCTCATTACATGAACTTTGTATCGTATTTGGCAAAGAAAACGCTTGAAAAATACATCATTTCCGTGTGGAAAAAATTGATAGAAGCACATCTCCAAATTTCTCCAAAACACGCAACGCGGCAAATTACCTTTGATTTAAGATAAAAACACAGCTGTGCAGGATCAAGCGATTACAAACCTATAAGCTAAGCCAGCCAGATTGAGTGTTTGACTCAATCTGGCAAACGTGCGGACGGGGCATAATAATCCTTGTTTGGTGTTGTGCAACAGCAACAGATCGCTTAAAAGCGGAACTGTCTCATCCAAAACAAGATGTATAGTCAATTAATTATCTTCAAAGAAAAAATATATCAATCTTGCGCTAACAAATACACACATTAACCCGTTTTGTAATTTATCCTTTAAAATTGTCCTTAGGACCCATACCAGTTTAACTTAAATTTCAAGTGAGGACTTGAAATCATCACATGTTTAGTAGAAAATAAAATGTGACAATCGACAAAAGAAACAATCTGAATTAAAATTGACCAAAAAACATAATTCTGATTTCAAACAAAATACTTACTAAGTAAAGCATCAATACTGGATCGGTCTCCCTCTAGCCACGCCGATATAACGTACGCCAAGCCTAGCATTACTAGACCGAGCAATGCCAACACTATGAAGGTCTCGTATACTCGACCTCTCAGGCCCCTGCACCCGGGGAACCCAGAGGATTCCGAGAACAGATATGCGAAAGGCAAGAACACGAACATAGAAAGGTTTGAAAACAGGAACACATGGTTCCAAAGTCCTGTAACAAAAGAACACATTTTAGTCAAAAAGATGAAACCATCAATCACGTCTCTGTCCGTTGGTCTGTCACAGCTATGAAAGGAGGATTAAGTTTATATTTGGTACACATAATAATGACGCTATATCGGCAACCCAGACGGATTTTTAAAGTAATTTGCCTATAGGTAAGTAAATTTAAGGTGCACAGTGGACCTCATCCACTTTAGAGCGTAAAATATAAAAAAAAACAATCTAGTGAACGTAAAATATAAAAAGAGTCGAACACGCGGACGAAGGGTTCCGTACCGAAAACGAGCAAAAAGATTCACGTCTGTTGTATGGGAACCCCATTAAATATTTAGTTTATTCTGGTTTTTAGTGTTTGCTGTTGAAGTGGCAACAGAAATACATCATCTGTGACAATTTCAACGGTCTAAATTTCACGGTTCATGAGATAATAGCTAATAAATTATGTGAATGAAAACATAGACAATGTATTGTTGAACAGAATGTGTTATACAGGCAATTTTCAAAAAAAACCTAAGTTAATTTTAAAAAGTAAAAAATAATAAATGAATATCAATCTTAGCATACTTAAATATGTACTAATAATTTAAAAAAAAAATACTTCGCCTTGGGGGATTTATTAAGTTGTTAGTTAGGTTTGGAGCGGTCTCCCAACGCGACATATATTTTTTAGAATTATGATTTCAGTGTTTCATTGGATTCAAATTTTTTTTGGTAGATTGTCTATGTTTTTCACTAAGCATAAAAGTCCTGGAGTTATCTAGGGCTTCCATATTCTTTTTCTTTTAGAAATAAAAATAGTTTAATAACTGTTATCCTAAATAGTAATATTGCCTACAGGTTTAGTTAACATTATTTTATTAATTTCATCACTCATCATCAGGCAAGTTATATTATACTAAATATTTTCTATACTAAGTTATAAATAAAAATGGGAGTAAGAGCATGTGCGTTAAAAATGGGAGTGGAAATTTGTATGGAGAATTAAAATGTTGCCATAGTAACCAATGTTTACTATTCAGACTGACATTGTAGTTATATCCGTGTCATGATGAAACCTTATCCAAATGAATTATTCAATTAAATTCTAAGCCTAGATTAACATATAGGCTACTATTTATCATACTAAACAGTTCCCCAGTGAGCATGCAAGCAAAGCAACTGGCTGATAGCTAGTTAATTTACAAATAAAAAGTAATGTATGTTTTCATTGACAGAACACAGAAAATAAGTAAATACTCTAACACAGTGGCGACTCAATGAAACTTGACCCCCTAGGCATAACACTAGAACACCCATAAAAAAAATATATATATATAAAAGACTAATGTGATTAAACAGTAATTTTGCTAATGACAAACAAATCTCCTTAGATACAGATGGTCCAAAATCTTAAGGTGCTGCATTTTCGAGGTTCACATATGTTTGCATAATCTGTTTGCCATGCTCTTATCTCTTTACCAAATGAATGGGTTTACTGAAAAGTTTGGTAGTAAGTCTAACACAACATTTTGTAACCTTGTGATATAATATAACACTTCTCTTTTTTTAAGTTAAAAATGTAACTATATATTTGCAACTCATAGGCTGTTGCATGCAACAATATAAATTTATTAGATCAGTTATAGCGATGCTAAGCTAACAACAAGCAGCATTACAGCATTTTGATAACAATGAGTTGATCAATACACAATATTTTTTTTACCTATGATGAAATGGAGTATGCTTTGTTATTTACGTATGCAACATGTTGAACAATGATCTATTGATCTCCAATAGTTTGATTGATTTTATTTAGGTATAGTTTCTATAAAACATTTGTAAATGTTTTTTAGATAACAGTGATTACCAGGATTCTATAATAAACATATTGATGTTCCATAACATGAATAATGTTCCAAATGTTCCCATTTATCTACAAATAGTCTGTATAATTTAATGGCTTTTTTCATACTAATTGATGTTACAATAGGTAGATATTTTTTTATTAAATTATTACAAAATTACCTTGTATTAGTGAACTGTTCAGCCATTTTACATAATAGCTCTTGGGATACAAAATAAGCACTTCATTGCTGACTATTGATACTGGCAACAAGAGTGCTGATCCCAATGATACAGCCAATGCAAATGTGCACAACCACAGACTGATACGGTACACTTTCACTTCATCTTCATCTGCTGTAAAATAGTCCTCACTGTCACGCCGTCGAAATTTCTCAATCAACACAAATGAGAGAAGGTAAAGTAATATGAACAGTAGCAAAAATATCTGAAACAATCAATATGTATACCAGTTACAGTTAACATTATGATATAAAAGTACAAAGCAAGCGGCAATTATAATAATGGCATAATATTTATTTATAACATATAAAAACTATTCTCAGAAAACTAAAATGGATTTTAATTATTATATGGCTTTCTGAAATCTTTAATCAGTGTTTGCTTCTAACTATATCAAAATCAAATCCACAGAAGAAAATTCACATCTATAGCGTAAAAATATGTATGCCTCTGAAGGCATAACATAACCGCCCCGGCAATAATTTTGACGGATTGTGACTATGATGAGAATCAATGTTAAGCTTAATGACTAAAAACTTTTTCGTCACAATAACAATGCACTCTCAAGGCATAAGCCACATAGATTAAAACGCGATTTATGACATTGCTAGCCTAAGGGTAAATTTTTAATTACTGTATTTATTTGAATTGCCTTTCTTGTGTATAAGTTTTAAATTTCGCCAAAATTATACTCAATTTGAATGTTTAACAACATTAAGGACTCTTGAGTGACATAAAAATGATGATAAAATGATCATGCTAAAACCTTTTGAGTTAGATCATGCACTGCTACTTACGATTTGCTCCCTAACGTTATTGTGAAATATTTGTTCACGCAAGTCAGCTTCCTCATCATCCATTGTCGACGTGAATAATATTTATCTCATACAAGACGATGTCTCTCTAAAATATTTTACTCTGAAGCATTTCATTTTCAACACTTTTTTTATAACAATGTGCGCCGAACGATAACATATTGATACTTTTCACTTTGTCTTTCTTTTTCTAACACAATACAATACGCTTCAGGAAACTTAAAAAACAAGCTTAAATGTTTTATGAAAATACGACACAATTAACTCAGAACACGCAAAATTCACGACTAATTTTTACTTTTTTTTTAACAATGTAAAGTTGCCATAACTAAAATTATTATTATGCCCACACTAGCGATGCGAGATCTAAATCGATAATTCATAAGAAACGAACAATGACAACCGATCTATTTATTGACTTTGGAATCTGAAAATATGATATGATGAGATTGATACAAAGCAATATTATTTGCAAAAAGCAAAAAGACCTTATTCATCAGTGACCATTATGAAAAAGTATTTTAAAAAATAAAGAAACTACAAAATTTTATGTTGGATTGTATAACACGAGAATTAACTCGATATATTTTATGTTCCTAGACGGCGGCACTAATTGTAGGATCTAAATGACGTTAGATCAAAGAGAATAGAATTGTCAGTGTTGTTGTGAATCTGATAACTCGGATTAATATTGAGCTGAAATTCAATTATATAATATGGTCTTTTAAACATGTATATGTATAAGGTGGTTCGTCAGCATCCATACATTTCCAAGCAAAGTAATAAATATTTAGGTAGTAAATTGATTGGTCACTAAGTCTGAACTCTGTAAATACAGAATCACCGCGCTATGTCGTTTGAGTCGAGCGGTGACTGGTCGTGAGTTATACTCACAGATAATCTATACTGTATTGAAAAGAATCCAGCAAGTTCGTCGGTTTCCGTCTTGCAAACTCAAGGTCTTAGTAGGCAGCGAGCTGGCTGAATATAGGTATTAAATCCAGTCTCAAGGAGCGTAAAGCGCCATATGAAGTTTCTGCCCTGGATAAAAAGAAATCGTAGATCGGGACCTGATTCGTAATGGCCCGGATTTTTACCTATTTAAACATCATGATTTCATCTTAGTATAAGCTATCTAATTTCAAAGATTCGTCAACAAAGAGTTTTATATTCGTTAACACGTGCTAAAGAATCTTAAAACGTTTAGAACCAACAAAGGCGTTTTGCTAGCATTCCTTGTCCCTCATTAGTTGCTCGTTTATTCTCAATCTATGTTTACTCTTGATTCACTAATGAGGTAATTAATATTTATCAAGATAAGATATAAAGTACTTCGATCAACAATACAGTAAAGTATCTTAAAATTAAACTTAACAATAGAAATACCCCTTTGTCTTATACAAACAAAACTGTCAGTGCTAACTAGCGATGAGCGATTGTTGCAAAAAGAAACGATCGACTGAATCGAAAATTGTTTTACTGCGCATTCAATTGTCGATTTAGTAGTTCCCTGTCATGATTATACGAATAACAATCCTCTTAACTACTAATTACTAACTGTACGCACATTATTTATGTGGTCATTCTGTGTTATGCGCATGCGGTCGGTTAACTGCGCGGAGTATTATGGTGTTGCGTTGATTCTTTGCTTACTTTATTAATAATTAGTTGGTATTTATATTATTATTTATAACAAAAAACAGAAGTAACATAATACAAAAAAACATGAAATTGCCTGGTGACAGACGAATGGATGGATGGACGGACGGACAGCGAATTCAGATTCGGTACGGAACCCTAAAAAGATGTAGTATGTTAGCGATGTACAATTCGGGGTTTGTTTGTATGATATTTCAATATTATACGTTGCTCGATAGTGTAGATAAGTAGCAACTAAATTGCGATGATCGAATGGATGTGCCTTCAAATCAGTGGATTCACTACTAAACAGACAACTAAATATTCACGCCAATCACATAATAACTGCAGTCGAGCGCAGCGCACGCCGCACCGCACGGCACCATAAGTAGTACGCACGGGTATAGTAATATGGCACTGCGCTAGAAATTAATCGAATAAGTATTTACGGTAACCGCAGCGTGTCATAGCCGCCGCAAGGTTTACAGCTAGTTGCACAAACGTCCATTAAAAATTTCATTAATTTAAAGTTACATTATCCATACAAATTTGACATTCATTAGAGCTTAAAGGCGTCATTAAACCTTAATGAACGTTTGCGCAACTGACCGTTAGTTGTAGAGAACAATCGAATAAAATCAATTGTAATCGACTTTTATCGACTAAGCTAAAGGATCGACTAATTCGATTTTTTTAAGTAGTAATCGGCCATCGCTAGTGCTAAAAGTGACAGACAGCCAAAGATTACAATATTATACTGGTAATAGATAGCAAACTCAAACTTTAAATAGGTCACGATTACAGCGTCATCTATCCGCCAGCTAAAAAAAGTCACGCGTATGTGTGCGTGTATATGTGTGTAGCTAGCTACAGCCAGGTAGGTTTATTTGATCAGTGTTTTTTTTTTATAAGATAAACAGGTATATTTTTTCTTTTATATAGATTGATTCTAAAAATGTTTAATAGTTATTATTCATTTTGAGAATCAATACATATATAAAAAAAGCAAATGTACCTTTATAACTTATCGAAAAAAAAACACTTGGCTAATTAAACCTTAAATATAAAACAAAATGTAAGACCGCAGATTATTTTTCGTTTTATTTGCTATGATTAAACAAGTATATCAGGAGTCATATTTATATGGTTTATGTTCAATGCTAACTATTATAAATGTTTAGAGCGAGTAAAATAAATCAATTAGTTTATTTCAATGAAAGACTTGTTATTTTTGTAGCTTTATTAACCATCTTATTTCAGACATTCATCAGTGATCCACACACAGTTTTCTCTTCCTATCTTTATTTTTTGAAAAATGGTTATGAGCCTTTACCTTCATTTCATCATTTCTATCCCAAAATGAATTTTGCCATTGATTAAATGATTGATATTTTTGCACCAATTATTAATAAAAAATACTGCACATTTCTCTGTTATGAATTCTTTTAGTTGAATTTGGTGTTCTGTGCATTGTAAAAAATTTAAATCTAAATTAATCTTTATGATTAACTTTATATATGTCAAAATATTTTTTTTTTTATTGCAATTTTCTTTTAAAACTTCTATTGTTTTCAGTATTGATAACATAGTCAAATAGGTTTCGGGTAGGATAGCACAACCAGTTTTTGTTTTCAAACTCTTTTAAAATTATATAAGTATGAAATATCTGCTTTTCTTTAGCTTCTATGTTGTTTTTACATAATAAACAGCTTATATAAAAATTTTTCTTTGCTAATTGTGCTATCCAGCCACTACAGTATCCAATTTTTCTACTTATTAAACTTTCTGTATTCATTAAATCAATGCATAAATGAGCATTTTCAATTTCAACTTCACATTCAGTGGGTATATCATCTACGTCTTTAGTCAATAGTTCTTTTAGTGTTTGCAGACAAACGCTATCATCCATTTCGCAATTTGATCCCACTGAATGTGAAGAAGAAATATTGTCAATAAGCAATGTTTTAAAGGCCCCCTCAAAAGATTGTGATGTAGGCATCGTATTGCTGCAGCCATGAGCCTTTATTGCCCCAAAAAATTTCTCCAATGCGTCTTGGTTGAAATTTCATAGCAATAATGAATTTATGCCTTTTGAATTCAAATAAATTAAAATTCTTTTGAAGTTTTCTACTGTTTTTATCCAGCTGGACAACGATGGAACTATCCCATGATTAATTCCATTATGAAACCTCATGCTCCTTAAAACTGGAAGGGTTTTGTTCCATAATTTATGATGAGGCGATGTTGGTGTCACTGCTGTCCTATACATTTTCCCCCCTTTTGGTTTGCTAAAGCTGCCACTGACACTGTCGAATAAGTCATCAAAAAACATCAACAGGTCTGCAGTTTCAGTGCATTCTTTTTCAAGAACTCCAAACTCTGCAATGAAAATATAATGTTTGTTTAGGTTTGTAATGGAAAATATAAGTTTTTAGTTTATAGTATGTATGTACTATGTATACCAGAAAAAAATTCTATAATAAATCTGCTCTCAAAAATATAATAAAACATATGGACTCTAAAATTTCATAATAATAATAATCATCATCATCATCAGCCCTTTTACGTCCCCACTGCAGGGGCTCAGGCTTTCCTTGTGGATGGTTAAGGAGGATGGGCCATGACCCTCCACGCTGACCCAATGCGGATTGGAGTGAATAGACGACTGTAAATGCAGCCGGGACCAACGGCTTAACGTGCCTTCCGAAGCACGGAGTAGCTCGAGATAATAATTTTTTGGTCACCCATCCCATGACCGACCCTTGCGAAAGTTGCTTAACGACAACGATCGCGGGCCGCGGCGCTTATCTACTACGCCACCAAGCTATTCTCATAATAATATTAAAAAATATCACCTGTCATTACTCCAATAGCAGCTCCAATAGTTTTACTTAACACCTAAGTGCAGTGTTTCACTCTCATTTTTAGTATTAATGATGGCACTACATGATGAGCTGTCAACTTAGGTGCCATCTTCACTCCTTTGTAGCCTGGGCATCTTTCATATAATTGTAGAATGTGATTCCACTTAGCAGTACATTCCTTTCCATTCATGTTATATTTTAAATTTTTTGTTAACAGATTATACCTGATCCCTTTTATTAAATGAGGTGGGTCATAGAGTGAAAATACTTTTTGTCTCCAACTTCAAAAAATCCTTCTGTATAGTGCTGCCCTCTTCTCAAATACATTTCGTTAATCTCTTTTGACAACAAGTTTATAGCAGCAATATTTGATGTAGTTTGGTCACATACTGCTGCTACCACCATAAGACCAGTTTCTGCAATTTTAATAATCATATTCTTTATTAAAGCTTTAAGTTCTTGTACTGCCACTGCAAAAATAATAGGCCAGTGGCTGTTTATATTTTTTAACAATGCCTCTAATTAAGAAAACAAGTACAGTCAACAAAATTTCTGCCTACCCCGTCTTAGGCGATATTTGCTTGCATCTGTAAAATACCACCCATGGCTAGCCTGCTTGCAATGGCCAATAGCGTCTTCTTTGGGCTGGGTTGTCGTGAAATACAATACAATGACAAAAAATGAACAGGGTTTATGAACGTCTCGGTGTTTCCGAATTTGCCTTGTGGACCTCAAAAATTGAAATTGCCAAGTAAAAATAAATAATACAATTAAATTATGTGTATTGCTAATAATGGGTGTAATATACAATGAATTTCAAATATAAAGTTACGGTATGAAGAAAAATAAGTAGGTATTCGATTAACTAACTATTAAAATATTTGACTAATAAAATAATTAAAGTATTCTAAGCAAATCTTATTCATTATTTTGAATCTGATTTTTGCAATATTAAGAATGCATTAAAATTACTCGAAATATATTCAGTATTAATTAAATTATACAAAATTCATTGACTGATATTTTTTTAAAACAAAGTAAGTTTTTTATTAGCAAGATATATTAACTATTATATTTAAACAAACACTGCTCAATTCAAAATATTTATAATGACGAAATTTACGAAGGACAGCACGATGCTACGAAAAGATTAATTTTTTAAATAATTGTAAATATTGATAAAAAAACTAGAAAATCACTGTAAAAGTCATGCAATCTTTTACATAATCATAGCATGCACGATTTAATGATCGAATTATGTAATTAAAAAAATAAAAGATTCGCACTGTCGCGGGAGTGACTAGTTAAATTACGATTTTAACCCTTCTGCAAGTCGATTGAAAAGGTTTTGATTATTTCTTTTTAACCGGTCAATAACCAAAGACCGAAGAGAAAGTGTTCGGTGATTCTCTTACACCATGCAATATAGGGTAAAGCAACCACGTGTTTTGTTTTTTTGTTAAGTAGGAAACAATTTGCTTACAAAATGGACAGCTGTGTTTACATGGGAAGACTTGACCTGTTAAATAACAGTTAAATTAGTATGAAACTTCTGCTAGAATAATAATTTTATTCTAGCAGATTTTATTTAACGAACGCAAGCGTAAAAAGTCATAGGTATTATTATGATAATAATGTTTCATAATTTACATTTTAAAAGAAAGACAAACTCAGATCGTAATATGTTTTTACCATTGTTATTCAATAAACATCGACAGAAGCTGGATAACCAAGAAAACATCTGGTCGCCCGTTACAAGTTCGGGTATTTTTTCTTAGGAATACCCGAAACAATAGGGATGATGACTAATTTTTGTTTGTTTGTCCGTCAGGTAGAGTGTTAAAAAATATGAAACATGTATTTTTTTATTTTTTTCGTAATAATAAAATTACGGCGTTAAATTGAGTTCAAATTTCGCATGACGTCACGTTAGAGTACGTTTTCTACAAAACTGTGACGTAGCGAGCCCCTACTCCTCAACTTTAATGCCTGTAATCTAAGCTATTTCTTGTTAAATTGGAGTAAAAGAAAAATACGTATCCAATGTTTTTCTATTATCTGACTGACGGACTAAATAGAATTGCATTTTTTTTACCCAGTCATCATCCCTATTGTTTCGCACGGTGTAACAGTTACTCTGGTAACAGCTTATACCATGATGCATATTTTTGAAGCAAAAAAATGTTCTCTTGAAACTAAACTAACAGATTGATAGTTTTACAAACAAACCTCGTAAAAGTCATAAAAAACGTAGACAATAGACATTAGTAAAAACAGATGGTCCATCTGATTACAATGAAAAATATTAAGGGATTCATTTGCTCATTGGTTAAGAAAAAAAAGGGCGGGGCATGCTGTGGTCAACTTGTGCAAGCAACATTTTTCATAAACGGGGTAGGCAGAAATTTTGTTGACTGTACATGGTTACTGTACTATTTGCTTCATTGCTCCATTATCAACAAATCCTGTGATAATTTTTTTTTTTTATTAAAGCTGATGCTTTAATACCAATAATAAATACCACCAATAAATGGCAATAGCACCATTGCCATTTCATCAAATACCAAGGTGCAGTATTTAAATTTATTTGGCATTCTCCTAACTCTGGATTTTAGGTTGTCAAATAAAATTTCATTAATGCCTGCCTTTAACTGGACTTTATACAACAAAGTCTGCAATGTTGGTCTACTAGGTAAAATACAAAATTTTCTTAACAGACGATACGCCTTAGGTGCAGGTTTGTATAATGATAGCGCTACAATCTTTTCATCAATGGTAAATCGATGCCCTTGCTTTTTCTTATTTCCATGTAACATTTGCATTCGGCAAAATAATTTTGCAGTAGGTGACATATTTTTGGAAATTATTTGGAAAGCAGAGGTTTTCATTAAAGATTTAGCACGAGCCAATTTTTGTTTAAAGCTCCTTTTTTGAGCTTCTCATTTTTTCAATTTATTCACAATGATTTTATATTGTTTATGGTCTTTTAGAGAAACACCTGCAACAAATTTCATGAAATGTAAATTAAAACCTCAAAAATAAATAGTTTCTTTTTTTGCATTACACACTGTACAAAAATATTCAGTTTTGTAATAAAATCATCTAGACTATGTCTTTTTTCAGATTTGCTGATTGTTTCCAATTTCATGCAGCAATTTTCAAATTGGATAATTGAGATATATTTTTGCAAAACATACCTTTTAATTTTCTTGGCAACTGTTGTTTGGCAACAGGTGTTTGTGTCTTTCCAAGGTTTGTATGCTGACCTGGAAATAATAACAAATAAAGTTATTTCGTGGATATCATTGGCTTATCAGTCTCTGGCTCAAAATATTAAAGATTGGCCTATGTTACAGAACATAGATTTGCAATTTTGAACAAAGGGACATTCAATTTTTGTATAACTATATGTTGACTCATGAATTTTCCTTTATATAAAAAATAATATTATATTTAAGATGATTATTTAACTATTTTAATTTTCATCAGAAAAACGTTTACCAACCTGATGTGCTGGCATGTAGTTGAGAAGGTACAAAATGTGAGCTACATGGCAAATCCGCACTTGCAACTATGTAAGGTTCTCCAGTTGATTGCGCTGAACATGAAGAAAAAAACATTTTATAATATTTTATTTTATAATAAACATTAAAAATTAACATGGAAATTAGGAGCATTATTTGAACAATGGTATAAGAAACTAGCTTTCGCCCACAAGGTCTTATATTGTACATATAAACCTTCCTCTTGTACCACTCTATATATTGATGAAAACCACATTAAAATACATAATGTTTTTTATAAGAACTCAGCTTATAGAAAACGTATTTGTTTTCTACTATTTCATTTTTACTTTAAACTTTTTATAGTTTGAAAAATTATTCACTGGTCATTGTTAATCACATATGAATGAATTTTAATGCATAGCCTGCTGCTTCCATCTTTAAATAGATAGGTAGATATTCAATATGCAGTATTATTTATAAATAATAAATTACCTGACATATGAAGTGTAGGCATTGCTATGTTGCAGTCTATTATTGGGATATTTATAAATAGATAGAAAATGTTTTCCACAAATATGCATGTTATTATATATTTTGATTGGATCCAGAGTTATTTCTCCACCAACATTGTCTAGCCATTTTTTAAATTTCTCTGTTTTAGTTCTAGGTTCAGGAAACCGGTGCAAAGGGATACCTGAGTAACATAATAATATGTATTATTCTCTGCTATTCACACAACAAATTATTAGTCCTTAATTATTTGTATAATGGATGAACAAATAACAATTCTTAAATTGTAGGCACATAATAAGTTTTTTAATGAATATTGTATTCTACGATAGCTCAAAGAAAAATACCTGAAAAACATTTGAATTATGAAACTCCACGTATAGGTATAAAAATCGGTTGAAAACTTTGTCATTATAGTACAATTCATAAAGTATTTATTGTACAAACTAAAAAGCACTTACCGCTATCCTTAGTCACTGAACATTAAAGTACACAACAACGGTTTTGAGCCATGATTTTTTGAGCAAAGTTCAAATTAAAAACAAGTAACATTTCGGTACGGGATATTTCAAGACACAATACGATTGTTAACACAATATATTTCGATTACACGGACGAACTTAATCAACTTAACGTGAAAAGCAGAAAAAGTTACAGGAACTTGCAAAAACTAACAAGCACACGGACATTCACTCAATACATTTTCAATTTGCGAAGTTAGTTTTAAAGTTTACCCACAATACCAAACCATTACATACGCGCCATTTTCAATTGATATTGCCATAGTATATTTAATATTACCACTTAAATTAGAAACATTTCTAGTGACAATTCTATAATTACTATATTATTCTGTAACAAGATATATTATTTCAATAATATTAAGTATCATAAGGCTTTTTAACTAAGTTTCAAGTAATAATAAACAAGATTTATTAATGATGCCTTTAAAAATTATCCCCAATTATAAACACATTTATTTATTGTGGCTACACCATGATTTCTATTTTAAAAGCTGGTACATAGATGGCACTGTAAAGTAAAAAAAAATCGAGTTCTAAGTTTGCATAGCATGCAGACAGCTGTTGTGCAGCTGTTTGTTTTGTTCGGGTTTGTGTTGGATTTATAGAGGTCGGAGATTGATTTTTTTATTATTTTTCATAGTGCCCATTAAACGGTAAATAAAAAAAAATGAAGATTATAATTAATGCTATGTAGCGTAATTAAAGGTGCATGCACAACAAAGTTCGGTGGGAGTATTAAACTTAGCACATTATAGAATTTAGTCCTTCTGTGTTAAAGTACATTTGTTGTGTTTGTTTCGGATAGACTGGATATAGTTCAACTTATTTTATTGTAATAAACATGATTGTTGATTGTTTAATAAGCCTTTAGAAAAGCGACTGAAAAGACAACTTCTAATAAATATATTTGAGTAAGTTAGGTTATTAATCTTACCAAAATAGCACAAAATTTTTGAGCAAAAGGAATTATGCTACAGCAGCGACTGGCAAAGTTCCGTGATCAAACTTAATGTGCACACTTTCTATGTAAGTTATAACAAGATGTTGGTAAATGTATTTTTTCTTTTCAGCTATGTCTATATCAGAACCTCAACTATCAGTCAGAATAGTAGTTTGTGATCATTACCTAACAAAACCAGTACCAGGTTTGTAGAGTTATAACTTATTTGTAAACTCTTATTTAAAATTCAAATATAAAGTACCTATTTATTTTTAGTTACTATTTCACAAACATGTTTAGTATTTTTTTTAAAATACTTTTTGAGACATATTTTTCATTTGCAACACTAATAAAGATTAAATTTATTATTATTCTAATAAAAAAATATTTTTGTAAACAGTAAAAATTAAGTTTCAATTAACAAGATGTGTGTGCCACTCATTATATTTGCTGCAATATAATTTAAACAATTAATTATTTAAATATTAGATTTAAACAATTAACTAACTTTGAGGTCTTTAATGAAGAGAAATAGTTTCACTCTAATTAAAATTTTATTTTCTTATAATTCCCATCATATATTTCAAATACATAAACCACAATAATATTATAGAATTTAAAAAGTAAATAAGAACTGTATAAGCTTTTTTATTTAAATACTTTGCATAAAGCATTTTGTACATCTCTGCAGGTTTGGACATAACATATTCAGATTTCAGAGGCGCAGATGTAAAACAGGTATGAAATTTGTAAACAGTGTTGCCAACTGCTACCGACAGCTTGTTGCTAGGAATTTTACATAAGTTGCTAGATTGAGTAATTTTTTCAACTTGAAAAGTAGCTAGAAAAAGCTAAATTTTTCCATGAAATTAAATACAATTTTACACGATTACTAGAAATCATAAGGCAAAGTTTTATTAAAGATTATTGCATTTAAAATACAAATAACAAAATAAAACACAAATCATCTTATTAATATTATTTCTAAAAGCAGTGTTATTTCTATAATAGTATGTGCTTAATACTATATTTATATTATATAACTACTCAACTGACTATTTAAAAAAGAATCACAATACTCAATTAAATACTAGAGGAAGATGTAGAAGGTTGTGAACTCTGGGAAGGTAATGATGAATCTGGTGCAGCTGAAGTAGCACTAATTGATTTTGAATATTTTTCAACAGTACCATTTTTCAAGTAAGGACTTAGAAAGAAAGAATGTAGACAGTCTCTGCAAGTAGAGTCTCTGTCTCTACTTGCTGGTTTTAACCAACCTTTGAACTCAGTCATATTTTCCCATTCCAATCCTGGGCCTAAGTCTTTTTTTTTTAGACGGGAAATCCAGTTTCAATTGAATATTTTTCCTGTACTTAGTTGAACCCAAAAGAAACAAACTATAAGAACAGCCAACTGAATCTACTGATGACCAAAACTTGAATAAAGAAATAAGATATGGAGAAAAAAAATAATTTGAACCAAAAGTTGCTAGAAAATGTTGCTAAAAAGCTACGAAATTTAAAAAATTGTAGCTGCCTAACATCAAAAATTGCTAAATCTAGCTATAAAGTAGCTAAGTTGGCAACACTGTTTGTAAAAAACTGATCTAATAAATATATATCACAACATATAACCACAATTTTTTATACATTTATGACTTTTATATGCCATTTGTAGCCTTGGTGCTCTTTCCTCATAGTATTCTCAACCATTTTATTTTTATTCTATCTAGGTTCCAGTTTTAAGAATATTTGGGCCATCAGTTGATGGACATAAAACATGTCTTCATGTTCATGGAATATTTCCATATTTTTATATTCCATGTCCAACATCACATCCTGAGCCTCAACTTTTATACCAGGTAAGTTAACATTCTTTAAGATCATTGTTATTAAATTTTTAATAACTGTTACTATCCATTGTATATATTATACAATAATAATAAAACGCAAAATATATTTAGTCATTAATCAATTATTTGCTTTTGGTATCACAATAAGCAAATAATTATTATATGTATTACTAGCTTTTCACCAGCGGCTTCGCCCGCGTGGTCCGCTGGTACCTTTCTCATAGAACTAAAATCCCTTCCCGCACGCGCACCCCCGCTTTGGTGACGCCCACTTCGTATCGAGCCATGCAGCAGAAATCGTAAAATTTTAATTTCACCATAACTTCAAAACAAAACATCCAATTTTAATCATTCAAACACCCAATATTATCTACATAAATTGTACTTAGTGATGAAATAATTTATTTTGATAAGGATTAATAGAGTAAAATAAACGCGTTTAAATGCAGTCCAATAAGGGTTCAAGATTTTTAAATTAAAAAATGGTTATTGTGCCTCACTTGACATAGATAGGTATTGTGTGTCGCAGACTGTTTTGTAGATATTTATAAGATCTACAATTAATTAGAACATTAAATGGTTCTATCTTTTATAGTTTAGGAAGTGTACGCAAAATAAGTAATTTATCTGGTTGATTTTTTACACCTTGTGTCCGTAAAACCCAAATATCTAATGGAACCCTATTTTTTTTACAAAATAAAATATAGCCTATGTAGCCAAATAAAATATAGCCTATGTAGCCATCCATATATAGCCATGGATAATGTAGCTTTTGAATTTTTAAAATCAGTCCAGTAGTTTTTGAGCCTATTCATTACAAACAAACATACAAACAAAGTTTTCCTCTGTATTAATATTAGTGTAGATAAAATTTTGATCGGAGAAGAGACACATTCTATTCTTTTCCCTTCTATCTGATGGATTAAGTGAGATTTTAAATGTTGATTTCATAATCAGCAGCATGTGATTATGAAATCAACATTTAAAATAAAAACCACCCAGACTTTTGTTGTTTTGTACAGTTTTACTATTTGTTAGTGTTGATTAACATTTATCTATTTCAGATAGCAGCTAGTTTAGACAAGGCATTGAATATAGCACTAAAGCAAGCAACATCAACCAACCAACATGTATACAAAATCACATTAGTCAAAGGACTGTAAGAGAAATACTTCAATTTTATTTTAAATTTTTAATGCTATTTTAATGCTTGTTAAATATGCTTAGAAAATCCACCAGCCCCAGGAAGCCTGAGAAGGAAGTCGAACCCACAACCATTTTGCTTCCTGAGATCCTACGAGACTGACAGGGCTGGTGGATTTTTTTTAAATACTTATTTTTTCATTATCAACTTGGGGTTGAATTTTCTAATGCACTTATTTTGTTTTAGGCCTTTTTATGGATTTCATGACAAATATCATCTGTATTTAAAAGTTTTTCTTTATAATCCTAATTTGATAAAGCAAGCCGTTGAATTGTGTGGCAATGGTGCTATCTTAGGCCAAATATTCCAACCGCACGAGTCCCATCTTAATTTCACTTTACAGTTTTTTATTGATTTTAATCTTTTTGGCATGAGTAACATTGATCTTGAAAAAGTTAGTTTTCGTAAATATGGTATACAAAATTCTGGTGAGCCAGAAAATTTTGATGAAAACAAGATCAAGGCTGAAAGTGTTTGCTTTTATGAAGCAGATTGTTTAGCAACACATATAATAAATAGACAGAGGATTGGCAAAGGTGATGTTATAGAAAATCCAGGTCTAGAAGAGGTATGGAAGCAAGAAATAGAAAGGCGAAAACAACTCAATTTATCGATTGCATCAAAATCTCTAAGTCAAGGAAGAATGGGGTCAGAAGAAACAGAATCACACTTTAAATATCAACAGATATGTCTAATAAAGTTATCTGGTGCCATAGATAAACCTGTAGAATTTAAGTCTGATAATGAAAAGCTTCAGGAAATGATATATTATCCAGCTGAAAGTATTGAAGGAACACAACTTTTTGATGCAGTAGATGTCAGTATCCATCTACCTGAAAATTGTTACAAAAATAATTTAAGTGGGACATCTACAAGCGATATAAATGACACACTAACAAAAGATTTAGAGCAAACAATTGTTAATGAAAATATAGCCCTAAACAGTAGTCTTTCAATACACCATAGTCAAATTTTATGTTAGTAGTTACAATATTTTCTAACGTGTTGCTTCACAATAAATGATAATTTATATATGAATGAATATATTTCAAGTAGCTTGTCTCTTTTTTCAGTAAATATTGAAGATATAGAATTAGTAGATATGTTAGAGGACATGGATGAAAAACCATTTGATCAAGATAGTGTAATGGGAACACCCGCCAATAAAGATCAAGATGAACATAATGAATCTGATGATGCTGACTATTCTCAAATCTTTAATGAAGACACAATTTATGTAAAGTATGTGATTTTGGCACAGCATTTGTTAATGTGTGATACGATAATTTTTTAATCCATTCATATTTTTTTAGTAATGATGATACCGAAAATAATTATCTGTCATGGAATGATTCATTTTGGGATGGAGCAAATATACCACAATTAGATGGAACTTTTGATGACGAACGTTAGTATATAATATATATACACAATAAGCTTGTCTTTTTGTTGACTTCCAGTTAGCTGAGCGTCGCTTATCTGTATGTTGCGTTCAAAAAAAAAATATTTATTCAGTCTAGGCTGCTACAAACACTTGTGAAAGTCGAGAGCTACACCATCGGTTCGTAAATCTACGGCGGGAGACCTTGTACCGAGAAGAACCAGCAAGAAACTCGGCAAGAACTGCTTTTTTCTCCCTGTTATATTTCATACAGAGCGTCAAGATTGAAGAATGACTTCATTAAATTAAGAAGTCACTTTCCGTTATAATATTAGAAAATATAAAACTAAAACAGTATTTACATCAATCAAATCATATCTAGACAAACAAGCTCACCGATAAAAAATGGATATATTTAACACCAAGCAGTTTTGTCATTTAACTATTCATTAACAGTATAATATCCTTTACTGAGTAGACAATTCCATAGAATTTTGTTATAGTAATGTATACCTTGACCCATAAATGTTGATACAACCTTCTTTAGCCTGCATGACGGCAAAAAAAAAATATCTTTGTTTCTAGTATTAAAATGACGATGTTTAATGTAATTGTTAATATTGTTTCTAACATAAAGTATACAATTGTATATCAATTGAGAGGCTACTGTTAATATTCCAATTTCTTGAATTTATCTTTAAGTGATATTCTTGAACCCAACTGATAAATAACTGTTTTTTTGTAAAATAAATAAGATCCAGCGGCTTTTCAAATCGACGTTGAGATGTGTTATTCAATAGCATTACTTGGTTTAAAGAAAAACCTTGGAATATAATATATTCCATATTCGGACACCATAACGAACTCAAATCGTTGAGTTCGTTATGGAGTCGCCAATGACGTCACCCTGCGTCCTGAGCTATGTAATTAATTGGGCTACTAAATATGAAACCAAGAATCTTGGAATTGGTTAAAGAACGCACGATATCCCGTAACATTTATATACTAATAATGTGTATTTGTTTCAGATTTAAAAAAAGTACGGAAAAGAAAAACGAGATCACTACGGCTGGGATTATCAAAACCCAAAGAGAAAAAAATACTCAATCGTAGTATTGATCATAGTGAATCAAATTTAGATATAAATGAATCTGAAGAAATAAATGTGTCTAGAGATACAATTGATAGTATTTCCAGCTTACACTTAAAAAAATGTATAAAGACAGAACCGCAAAGTGTCTTAGAAGAAAATACAAATAGCAATAATTTAGGACAAAATACTGAAAATTTACTCGACTTAGTGAATAAAATTTCAATAAAACATGAAATAAGAGCAAGTGAAGTATATGACGAATACAATAATTATATTCCAGTGCCTGGAACTTCGACGAAGTTTATTAAGGCAGTAATAAAAAATAATACAATTAATGATGAATCTAATAATTCACTGGAGTCATCTATAGATAATGAATTAGGTATAGTGAGCTTTTATGATAATTCAAAAATTTTCGAAACTTCATTCAATAAGTCAGTCACAGAAATAACTGAAAGTAAACAAAATTTAAAAACTAGCACAGAAAAAAAATCTACAGGATCTGATGTAGTTATCACACCTAAAATAAGGCCCCCAACAAGAAAATATGTTATAAACAGTTTAGACAAACATAATATTCCAAAAATTAATAATGACCGGCCATTTTATTCAGATCCAAACGATGTTGGCGATAAAGTGGAATTAGGCCCTATATTGTTAAAAATACAAAGCAAAGTAGCTCGCGATCAAAAACTGTTTGATAATGTGTTAAATGTTACAACGATAGAGGAATGGAGACAGTTGATGTTTTTACAGACGAACGAGATGTCAGATGAATGTTCCAAACCTGATTCTTTAAAGAAATTACTGGCTAGCAATAAACACTACATTTTACAGCCAACTATGAAACCACCAACTACAATGGAGATTAGAAAAAGTCTTGAGATAATCAATAAAACCTTAGAAGATAGTAAAACCAATACCACACATGAAATAACTAAAAATTTAGATGAACTTGATAACTCTCAAGCATTAGGTTTGCATGAAGAAATAAATAGCACCATTCCACCAACAGACAATCTAGATAGAAATGTTAGTAAGCCATTATTCCACATAAAATACGCAATGAAATAGTGAAATTATACTTTGTTTGCTGAACACTTGTCTTTTTATATCAACAGGTTAAAATTGGAGCGAGCAGTGATGAAAGTTTTCAAATAACAATGCAATCTGATGGCTCATTTTTATGTTTTAATAGTGATAATAACAAAGAAAGCTTGGCGTTGAAGAATACCCCTATAGTTGAAGTAAGTTTCAAAGATATTGAAATTAAGCTATTTCGGTAATAATTGAAAATGCATTTTAGTTTTAATTTTACATTTATAACTGACAAATGGAGAAGTTGGTTGATATATCTTGTTACTAAACATAATCCTAAACGCTTTCAATTTTTTTTTAGATGGATAATCTTACAATAATGCTTGCTGAGGTCCATACACTAGTAAGGGGTGATTTGTATCCCGATCCTGCTATTGATGCTATTCAAGCTGTTTTTATAATGATCACCAATTGTCCAACAGATAGTTCTCCCCCCAAAAGAGCTATACATGCTTTAGTCGTGGATGATGGAACACCATTCAAACATTTGGACAGATGTGTTTCAAATGTTGATATAACTTATTTTAAAAGAGAGTGTGAAGTTTTAGAGAAGGTTGTGGATTTTATCATATCTTATGACCCAGACATAATGTGTGGGTATGAAATAGAGATGAATTCTTGGGGATACATTTTAGAAAGAGCCCAACTATTAGGCATGGAAATAGTGAAAGAGGTGTCCAGAATAACAGAAAAATATAGACAAAAACGTTGGAAGAGTGAAGATAACGAATTCGAGGGGCGTATTATTGGTAGAATAACTTTTAATGTTTGGCGTTTATTTCGCCATGAGTTGGCCCTCTCCAGTTACAGCTTCGAAAATTGCATGTACGAGATACTCAAGGAGAGAGTTCCCAAGTATAGCTATGCCCAACTAGCAGAATGGTGGAAACACGAATCGAGGATTTTAAGGTGGATACCTGTGGAATATTACTTAACCAAGTTGAATGGGACCGTAAGAATGCTGGATAAATTAGATATAATCAGTAAGAACTAATTTATAATATGAAAGTGATATAATAAAATCTTCTGAACGATCTTAATTAAAATTTTCGTTACACACAGATAGATTTGTGGAAGATTTCTAAACACACTTTGTGGACTTTCAAATATTTGTTAATAATTAAATAATTTTATTGATTTTTATTATATAAGAGATTTTTTTTTTCATTTCAAGTTATTTTATGTACAAAATGATTTATAGATAGTTATTTTTTATGCTATCTTAATACATCGACACAGATCGCACATCAGAATTGGCGAGGTTATTCGGCCTTCAATGGTGGGAGGTGCTAACGCGAGGATCACAATTTCGCGTGGAGTCTTTAATGTTGAGAGCAGCCCGACCATTAAATCTGATTGCATTGTCACCATCTGTAAGACAACGGGCAGCGATGCGCGCGCCCGAGTGTTTGCCTCTAATATTTGAACCAGGTTGGTTCATGATTACGAACTTAATGATAGTGGCCGATAAAATTGATATTTGTAAAGTATTTATCGTTTCTCTGTTGCTTTTTCAGAATCTCGATTCTATTCAGATCCTGTCATTGTTTTGGATTTTCAAAGTCTGTATCCTTCGATGATGATTGCCTACAACTATTGCTTTTCGACCTGCATAGGTCGCGTACAAAATATTAATGGGTAAGACATTTGTGTACAAGACCAAAATATTTTTAATATGATACACATCTCCTTACCTACGAAATATAATTAAAATCTTTACATTTATTTAGATTCTGATACTGGTTTGTGAATAGATAAACGCCTTTTAATCTATCTTCCGTTGTCTGAAGCATTCATACTAGTTATAATAAAAACCTCACTTTTTTAAACGAACACTTGCTTTTCGGCTTCAAAAACTAAAATATTTTAAATGAAAAATTATCATTTCGATTTAAAGTATGAACAGTTTCTATGAAACTAAATTTTTTACAGAGATGCAGCGTATGAATTTGGCGCATGGCGTTTACGCATATCTGAATCAAAGCTAAAAGCCTTGGTGAAAAACGGTTTAGTGCACTGGTCACCAGTGGGAGTAGGCTTTGTCAAGCCATCTGTTCGCCGCGGAGTGCTTCCAGCGTTGTTAAGGAGAATTCTAGCGGCAAGGCAAGCTGTGAAAAAGAACATGAAGCAGCAATCTGACGAAAGCGTCAAAAAGGCTATGCATTCTAGACAGCTAGGTATATATGTATATGTAACTCCATCGCGACAAGTTGATACATGTTTGTAAAAGATACTACATTGTCAATGAGGAAGTATTTCAAAAAAGCGAAAGCATTAAAAAAGCACCTCCACTAAATGGCGACTCTAGCAAAAGTTGATTTTTACAGGAAACGAATGGACCAAAGAAAGTCATTTCCGTTCCTTTTAACTAACATATTAAAAAACTGAAATGTGAAAAGTTCGGAACTTAAATAGCAATACAAATACGAAAAAGTAAAGTAAGTACTTATACTTAAGTATTTATATAATGGAATAGAATATGAGTTTTTATTGAGTTATGAAAACGAATTTACATTTAAAAATGAAAGAAAACCGGAAAGAATGTCATGGAGAACACAAGAACGTACCGTATCGACATCTAGTTTGATTTCGGATATTTTTAAATACTTCCTCATTTCGTTATTGAAATAAGAGAAGCTTTATTTAATCAAAATTATGACTTTGTTATTTGATTTTGAAATGTCTACAGCTAAATATTCGATTTCATTTTACGGCTCAATAATTTTGCAGGGATCTCTTCTTGGACCACTATTTTTGATCCCTTTTTGTATACGATAATCTAAACATTTAATCTTTCATAAAAAAAATCAAATCGAATAAAGAACACATTATATCAAACAAAATTATTTTCTTGACAAGCCCTTGTATAGATTCTGGAACTATTACCAAAAGCGATATGATGTTTTGAAGCAGTTTTTGTTACAGGTTTGAAACTAATAGCTAACGTAACTTACGGCTATACTGCCGCTAACTTCAGCGGTCGTATGCCTTGTGTAGAAGTCGGAGACAGTGTTGTAGCTAAAGGCCGGGAGACTCTTGAGCGGGCTATCAAACTCGTGCAAAAAAACTCACAATGGAATGTAAAGGTAATTCTTGTTTAAATTTCATTATCAACGATTGCTTCATTATAAGGTTTCGTATTAAGAGACTTAAACACACATACACACGCACACACAAATTCCTGTTTTCACTTCCGGTCTTTTTTTTTTGGATTTGCATGAAATCAAAAAAATTACTTTTCTAATCTGAGGAAATAAATAACTATATTATTATTATTAACTTTATACCTCGTTTATTGCAATACAGCAATGAACCGACAGACCTTAGATAATGTATAAAAGTCGTAAATTTTCTATATCAATTGAAATTATGCTTAATCCATACTATTTGCATTTAGTTAAAATTGAAAGTCTCAATGGTAATGTATAGTTGAATAGCAAATGTTAGGGTCTCTTAAGTTCAGGTCTTCGCGTTACATAAGTTCGAAAAAGAGCTTTATATAAAAATGAATGTTCAGGTGGTGTACGGTGACACGGATTCGATGTTTGTGCTGGTGCCGGGTGCGAGTCGCGCGGAGGCGTTCGCTATCGGTCAACAGATCGCCGACGCCGTCACCGCTGACAACCCCTCGCCTGTGGCCCTCAAACTTGAGAAGGTTTTAGAATATATACTTCCGCTGAATACTTCTATGTACAATTAACCGCGCTTAAATCTTTTAACCTGACGCGCCTCAAATTTTTAAAGCTTATATATTGCGTGTAGAGTTCAAAATCAGTTGTGGAAATTTAACGTATTGTGGTATTCTGACGTGCTGCCGTGTGTACAGAATCCGGCACGAAATTACACACTGCGCAAAAATAAAAAGCCGACTTCGAGTAACTTAGAAAAGTGAAAAAGAAATTTATCTTACAGGGCCGGATCTGGGAGCGTGGGCTCAATTGGGGGCACTTGCCCCGGGCGCCAGTGTTATAATATAATACAGTTAAAAAGGATGAGCTTAATTTCTGCCCCGGATGGCCTTCCTTATGGATGGTTAAAGAGAATGGGCCATGACCCTGCACGCTGGTCCAATGCGTATTGGAAGGTATTGACGACTGCTAATACAGCCGGGACCAACGGCTCAATGTGCCTCCGGGAGCACGGAGTAGCTCGAGATAATAATATTTTGGTCACCCATCCCGTGACTGACCTTTGCGAAAGTTGCTTAACAAAAACAATCGTAGGCCGCGGCGCTTATCCACTACTCCGATTACTACCGAGCTACACTTCTATTATAGTCTGAATTTAATATTAATAATCTAAATACAACTCTCCGGTCTTGGGTTTACTTTTGGGATTGGTATTGTATACATTGTGGCATATATCCAGATCAGGGGCTGAAGTCTCGACAGAGTTCGCGATTGTTAAGTAGCGATCGTTAACTTACGATTACGATTATATATATAGTTGATACTTCATCAGCCTATTAACGTCCTTAATATGCTTTCCCTATGCTTTCTTTTTGGATATTGAATCACATATTATTTTCATATTGAATAAAATTTATTTTAAAACTGTCATAGAGTGAATTAAATTATTTATGATAAAAATAATTGAACTAATTTATTTCTTATATGTATTTAAATAAAGAAAATATTTTAAAACAATGGTCTACCCTAAAATACGGTCCTTAGCAGCGAAAAAGTAACAAGTGCTTGAAAAATTCGACAGTCCTGTTAGGTCCTGGGTAGCTCAGTGGTTAGAGCATCTCAGAGATCCAGGGACAAAGTGGATATTTTAAGCACTTTTCAATATAGCATTGTGAATGCAAAATTGATTAAATATAATAAATAGGTATGCTTGTTTCGTTTTTAAGGTCTACCAACCATGTATATTACAAACTAAGAAACGATACGTGGGCTTTATGTACGAGAGTCTAGAACAAGAAAAACCTGTCTACGAAGCGAAGGGCATCGAAACTGTCCGTCGAGATGGCTGCCCTGTGGCTGTTAAGGTAATACATAAAATATTTATTATTTTTTGTTACTTGGCAAATTAAGTGAAAATGTAAACTTAAAAGCACTTGAAGAGCGTTAACAAATTAACTCTAGGCCGGTATTATAGTCAAAACGACTCGGTAAATTGTTAAATGCTAACTACAATTCGGCCACGCTTTACAATTAATTTTTAACCGTGGGAGAGCCACGCTTCGGCATGAATGGGCCGGCTCGACCGGAGTGATACCACGGCCTCACAGAAAACCGACGTGAAGCAACGCTTGCGTTGTGTTTCGTCGTGTGAGTGAGGGTACCGGAAGCCCAACCCCTCCCTATTCCCTTCCCTCTACCCCTCAACCCTTCCCTCCCTATAATCACATTCGTCCCTCAAAGGCCGGCAGCGCGCTTGTAGCCCCTCTGGTGTTGCAGGTGTACATGGGCGACGGTAGTCACTTACCATCAGGTGATCCGTCCGCTAGTCTGCCCCCTATCCCATAAAAAAAAATCGCAAACGGGAAACCAGTAATTGTATCTGGTGTGAATAGTCTCGCAGAATGCACGCACGCGATCGTCAGATGTGCGGATCATCCGTGCACTTACCGGCTACGCTGACAGTAAGCGTGACTGTAAAAACCAACCTCGTAGGTCTACGATAGCGTTGAAATTATATATAATATACGAGTACCAAAAGATTTATTTACTCTGTTTTTTTAATGTACCCGAATTTAACTAATTAGATAAATTAAATAATGTATAGAGTTGTGTTACATTTTTTGTAAGCATCGTGTTACATATTTTGCAATTTTATAGTCTTTTATTTTTTTCACTCAAACGACACTCGTCAGATGTGCGGATCATCCGTGCACTTACCGGCTACGCTGACAGTAAGCGTGACTGTAAAAACCAACCTCGTAGGTCTACGATAGCGTTGAAATTATATATAATATACGAGTACCAAAAGATTTATTTACTCTGTTTTTTTAATGTACCCGAATTTAACTAATTAGATAAGTTAAATAATGTATAGAGTTGTGTTACATTTTTTGTAAGCATCGTGTTACATATTTTGCAATTTTATAGTCTTTTATTTTTTTCACTCAAACGACACTCGATAAACATAGTTACAAGACGAAATTGAATATTGTAGATTTTTTGGCAAAAATATTATAATATTCACGTTATAGTTCAATCACTGCATTTAAATATATGATCTAATTTTTCTTGAACTATATTTCTTTTGTGCTTAATGAACATGCTCTTAATGATTTGACTTCTACACCCATTTATTAGTTGTTACAACGGTGCCTGTGCGAGTTGTTCGAGACCGGCGACTTGTCTCGTGTGAAGCGCATTGTTGAGGGGACTTTATGCGATTTGATAAGCGGGCGTGTATCAGCGTTAGATCTGATGTTCACACGCGAGTACCACGGTGCCGCAGGGTACCGACCTGGGGCCGTCGCTCCGCCCAACGAAATTGCCAAGTAAGATTCGTTCATCATCGTCAACTTGACCTCCCTACTTTTTATAAAAGATATTTGTCTCAATTGTGTTTTACATCGTGATTACTTCCGTGGTATATCAAACTTTGAATTTACTACAATATGTATTTACTTCAATGATAATAGGGTATTCTACTCTGTTTGAAATAGTACTTATAAGTGTCTATTTTAATTTAAATTAAATATTTCAGAAAAATAAACGCATCAGCTAACTGTGTGGATCTGTAATTGTTTATCTGGTGTATGTAACGATATTGTAAGATCATTTATACAACCGTGGCTCTACCGTTGAAAAAAAAATATCTTGCCTTAAAATTAAATAGAAATTTAAACTTATTTTATACCCACGATAACGCTGTCCGACATATTCATGACGTCATTCGGATATGTATACAAAACAGACAGAGTAGTAGATTAAAAGATGTCAATAAACAAGAACAGTGCTATCTATTCGATGTTATAAGACAGCAGATACATGGAGTAGTGTACTATTACAATTTTTTTACCAAAAATTTGAACAGTAATTCGAACCACTACGGTTCGTGTTCTCGATTACAAACCTATAGGTTTGTATCGATCTAGGTGTTTTATATGTATTTTGAGTATCTATTTGCAACAAAACTGAAAGTAACGAATCAAACCTTAAAGCAGTATTACTTAATTTAGTAATTTAATGTTTTGTTGATGTAAGATTACACTATATATGCAAAAAAGAAACAGCTGAGATTAAAGATAAGTCCAAGAGACAACTTTACAATAAACTTTACTTATTTAAATGGAATTAATATTGCTATGTTTAATTTAAATTACGTATTGTTTTAGAATTATCTCTATTAAAAAATCCTTAGATAGTGAGAAAACCACCACTACCTTGGTGGTAGATACACTCTAAAAAAAAATTGTTAAATCAAACAATATTGTGATATATGTGACCAAGCATCTTGTTTCCATATGAGCCTGACAAGATGTTAGATACATTAAATAAGATGGTTTTTATTATTTTTACTATAGTTACTTTGTTAAGATAGTTAAGATTTCATTCAATTTGATCATTATAAATAACTATAGCAACTACCTCCTAGTCTTCAATTTAAATAAGATTGTAGTCGATATGTCTATGATATGTGACTGTATGAACAATTTACCACAGTTGATTCAACCAAGAGGTTGGTAAAAATTAACATGAAACGAGGCTGAACTAATCAATTTACGAAAGTTAATTTGACCAAAGAGTTGGTCAATTTAACCATGAAATATGTACTTGCCAATTTACCGTAGTTCTTTCAACCGATAGGTTACTCAATATAAGCATGAAACATCGTTGTACTAACCAATTTACCGAAGTTAATTCAACCAACATGTTGGCCGATATTAATATGACACTTGGTTGTTTCAAACAATTTACCGAAGTTAATTCTGCCAAAAGATTGGTCAATTTAAGCATGAGATATGATTATATTAATCGATTTACCAATGGTAATTCAACCAAGACAACCAACCACTTTAGCCGTTTGATCATTCTGAACTTTTGGCCCAAAGCGAGTCAGATTTTAAACTCGGACCACAGCTCAGAGCCTAATCAAAGAGCTAAAGTAAATAACTGAAATGGTTGGTTTCGAATCCCATATTAAGTTTGCTTTAAACGGCATATTACTTATACAATCTAACGATATAAACTGATACCGCGATGCATTAAATGAACAACGCCATCTAGTTTGTAGACTTAAAACTATTCGGGCACCTATGAAGATGATGGGCGTGTTTCATATTAATATTGACCAACATGTTAGTTGAATTAATCTTTTTCATAACAATATTCAAACAATATTCTCGCAATAGAAAAGTGAATTTGATAAGTTTGTGTGGATTTAACAAAGTCACTCTTTGTTGGCACTCGCTTTTCTTAGTTGATTCATTTAAGACAGTATTTAAATCAATCAGAATTTGATAATTATTTTAGCAAATACATTGTTAGTAGCATGAACAGCTTAATTTTAGTTAGTCCAATAATGTCAAGTAGTTACCATTAATCATTCATGTTTTTGAATTGACTAAATAGTCTTTGTTTGAAAAACAAAGGGTTTTTTTGGTTCTACTAACGTTATTTGTTAAACCAAATACGAGAACTTATTACTGCAACAATAAAAATCGTCTAATCTATTACTTTACCTATTTATTTTGATTAATTTGTATAAATTGCTTCAGCATACTTAGTTGTTAAATTTAACTATTAAAAATAATCGATTCACACAAAAAAATCCAGTAATGATAGATACGATAAATATATTTGATAGAATTAATCAGGGTTACCAAATTTTTAATTTAACCATACTTTAACTAGTTGGTTCAATGTTTCAGCTTTGGTTGATTTATGTAAATAAGTAATTGTTTTATTCAATATTATGTCAACCAAGAGAAAATCGCTCTTTGTTGGCCTCCATTTTTAGAGTGTAGTATTGATAGTACTAAAAGATTATATTCTTTTTAAATGTATCGAATTTCTTCATTAGATTCATTAATTTGAACGGTAAGAAAAACAAATGAAAATTACACATGTTTCTACCTCGTGTGTTCATAAGTTTTGAGACAAACTTTTTACTGAAAAAATAAAATGTTAATGGCTGTTACTTTTTTACCGATTTTGAATTAGGAATGTTAACTTTTAGTTTATTTGTATCGCAAATTCATTTGTTTATATACTTTCGTGACGGAGGAATTGAAACAATTACGTGCAACTGTCATTTCGCAATTTAAGGCGGGAAAAAATCCGATGCAGATTTTCCGCGAGCTAAAAAGTTTTCCTGCAAGTCGTAAGACGAAGAGCCGAGACAAATTCTCTGCAAGATCGCCAAAAGAGTGATCGGCCACGCTCTGTCAGGACGTCTACGATCATCCGAGAGCGACTTTCCCGAAACCCATGTCGCACACAGAAGAAACTTGCTCTGAAGACTAATATTTCGCGCGTTTCAGTGAACAGAATACTGAAATATGATCTTAAGGTAAAGGCCTATAGACGTAGGAAAGTTCACATTTTAAACGATCGTCTTCGTAAGTTACGACGCGAACGTTGTCCATTGCTGCTGAGGAGAAATGATGCCAGAAAGATACTCTTCACCGACGAGAAAATTTTTACTGCCGAAGTTCAACCGACAAAACAATAAAGTGTACGCTAAAAGTAGTAAGGATGTCCTAGCTTCGCACAGAATGGTATGGTGGAGAGTTCCGTATGAAGGTGTCACTCCGCTCCATTTCTGCCAACAAAGTGAAAGCCAAGAATTATCAGAGTGCCATTTTAGGGTCCCTGGAGAAACCCCTGTCTGATACGTTATTTCTCAATAAAGATTGGGTTTTTCAGCAAGACTCGGCACCATCCCATAAGGCAAAAAGCACCCAAGCTTGTTTGAGGGAGAATGTGCCGGCCTTTATCGCGGCGGATGAGTGACCCTTATCCAGCCCCAAAAATCCCACCCAAACTTGGAGTCACTGCAGCGAACCCTTATTCGAGAAGCAAAACGAATTCTGCTAGAAAAGATTCGTGCCGCCATTGATGACTGGCCAAATCGTATAAGGACTTGTATTAAAAGCAAGGGCGGTCATTTTGAATAAAATTTATTTTTTTATCTGTTTAATGGTTACTGAAAATTTTAGAAATATAAATAAATTATTAAAAAAGTTACGCAACTTTTTGTTGTTTCGTCTCAAAACTTATGAACACACAAGTTAATTTGAATGTTACTGAAACCAACCTCAGTATAGCCAGAGATTTTATTCCAAGTATATGCATGCTACATGCGAAAAGACTTCTTCCCCGACCTAATATATGTAGATATTGATGTGGTGGGTGCAGGCGTATAGGCAGTCGCGACGGTCGCGCGGTGCCGCGTGCGGGCGAGCGCGTCTCGTGGATGGTGGGCGGCGGCGCGCCGGGCGCGGCGCTGGTGCGGCTCGCGCGCACGCCGCGGGAGGTGGCGCGCGGTCACGTGCCGCCACACGTGACCTACTACGTCACGCGCGCTATACTGCCGCCACTGCACAGGTGCCTCTCGCTACTCGGCGCAGACGTCTTCAAATGGTGAGTTATACTATACTATAATAGACGGACGAAGACTATGTGCAAGAGCCTTATGGATGTTATGCTGATATTAAACGATATGGCAATGTACAGTACGAAAAATCGTAACACTGAAAATACAGTTAGTATCCGTGTGAGGTGAACCGCAGCGGGTTTTACCAGGTAGGCCTTTCACACCATCTGGGGTGGAAGGAGAGCCCTGGTTTGAGGCTTAAAGTGCATTTCCCCTGCGTTATCAAAACAAAAGGTATGTCACTGTATGGGACTTTCGCCCATATTTTTTTGTAACGCCATAAATAGATAAAATGCTTTGTCCCGGCTGGACTTGGAAAAGCATCTAATACCAAAGTCCTCATAAAGAAGGATCTAACGAGCCCAAACACCATTCAGTTGCGTCATTTCATCACTAAGTTTCTCTGACCACCTTCCGACTTTATATCATTGACGTATACTCGTGATATAAATTTTGCATAGACATGTAAGTCAAATGATATTGCATTGTCATCTGACTCGCATATCTATGCAAAACTTCAAATGACTAACTTAAGGCAAGTTAAATAACAGCTTGTAAAAAAGACACGGTGAACCAACCACCGAGAAAAAAATACAGTAGTGTATATTTTGTTGTTCGCGGTAGGTGGCATGACATCAGCTACAGTGGGGCGGCGTCCGCACGGGCGGTGAGCGTTGGCGGTGGTGGGGGTGGCGGCATCGCCCGGTACATGTGGCGCGTGCGGTGCGCGCGGTGCGGGGGCGCGTGCGCGCGGGCGGTGTGCACGCGCTGCGCCGCCACCGCGCCCGCCGCCGCCGCACTCGTCGCGCGACGGGCTAGAGCTCACGCGGCCGTCGCCAACCTATACACTGTACGTATGGTACAATGGCTAAACCCACATTCGAAAAATTATTCAATCATGCATAATTCACCACCAGGCCCAGATCTACGATTTTTTCAATCTGGGCAAAATTCGGATGATATTGTGATACTACCCCACTCTTTTTATATATCCTTATGTTTTTTGTTTATTTTGTGGATTGAAGTTTTTTTAACTGTAGGTATTACAATATGATGATATTGACGCCCCCCCGACACGCGTCCGGAGTTAGTGCCCAACTCCCCTCCCCCTAGATCCGGCTCTGTTCTAGTGAACAGATGGTAGTCCATCTTCTAGGAGTAACGTCTCATAATTTACTAACCATTAATTTAACAATTATTGCAAAGAGAAATAGAATTTATTGTAATTCTTTAAAAATCCCATGAGGTAATTTAAAAAAAAAAATGCGTAAAAATTGCATGCCCTAGACCATAAGGGGCCCCAGACTATAATTATTTCAATACGAAGAATAAAGTTGTTGTAGACTGTTTTCCGAAACCTGAGCCGTATAAAGTATAGCTTATGTCTGGGTGACATAGGCTATGCTTTATACGGCCCAGGTTACGTATCGTGTAGCTTCCCGTAGGAGAAAAAAAAGTTTAAAATCTGCCCCGTACAATTTATGGAGTAATATTTTCAATTTCATTAATTTTGTTGTCTGTTTTTTAAACTCAGACTAAATTGACACATGCAAATATTAAATTTAGAAATAATGATACCAGCTTATTTTGAGCAATGTTAACCTAAAACCGGTATTTTGGGAAAACCTAGAATTTATTATCGGTATTAGATGATAATCTTAGTAATAAAATGCATTGTTCATAATAAAAGGACCCTGTTGACATCAATAATTCTTTACTTAACCTCTCTAATAACTGACGCAAAAATTTTGTTTTTTTATACTTTTTATTGCGATCTGTCACAATCGGACATTTAGTAAATATTTTAATTTACTATTCTGTATGTGGTATCAAGTCCAGTGATTTGGCCACTTCAATAGTGTTCACAAATTTTGTGAAATTTATTTATTGGTACAAGTCCAGAGGGGACTTCAATTTCAATCTGGAAAATACAATTCTTGGCCTTGATAGCTCTGTTGCAAGTTCATTTTTACTATTTTGTAAGCGGTTCCTATATTTGGGCATTCTATCTCTAATTTCAGGCTTTACAGTTGAGATGTTTAAGTCTTTGTGTAGTCGTTTATTAGTTATGTACCAAAGTGCATCCACTATAGTTCGCAAAATTCTGCGAACGATTGAAATCTGTGTAATATTTCCAGATTTGAATTCGCGGATGTACCACATAGTTGAATTCCGTATGTCTAAGTTGGCTTTATGATGCATTTATAAATAAGTAATTTATTTTCCAGTCATAACTTTGATGTTCTGCATACCATGCAATAATATTAACGAAACTGTATGCTTAGGGCCTTGCGTTTTGTAATAAATGTGTTTCCTCCAAGAGAGTTTTCGATCCAGATGCAATCCAAGGTACTTAGCCTCTTGAGCTGGAGGTATGATGATACCGTTTAGAGCAACGGGTGTTCAAGTATCTTTCCGAAATGTATAAGTAACATGAACAGTTTCGCTTCATTGACCTTAATTTTTTGGCCAAGATGTGACTCTATCAAAACTAGTCTGGAATAATCTAGAGACTGTATTACCATCGTTGCTCACAGCAAGAAGTGCGGTATCGTCAGCGTACGTTCCTAGTTTTACCCCGGTAATAGTTGGTAGATCTGCAGTGAATAGAAGATAAAGTGTCGGGTCTAGAACACTGCTCTGAGGAACTCAAGCATGCATCTCTTGGAGGTTAGAAATATCCTCGCCACATCTAACAAAGAACCAACGTCCATCTAAGTAAGAGAAGAACAAAAAAAAAGTTTATAGGCAGTATCTCCCGTAACTTGAAAAGGAGGCCGTCATGCTAGACCGATCTTTTAGTAGTTATTGTTTTCGTAATAACAAAACAGAAACCTATGATTAAGTTTTCAGTGAATGTTGTTTTTTTTTTTAAATCAGTCTTGTTATTTCAAGACCTTTTCGATACAAACAAACAATCAAATAATTATTCTTTACAATGCTAACCGTAACTGTCGGAATCATGCAGCTGTGATAATGAGAAATTTGAGAGTTTTGACATCTCTGTACCTATATATTTGCCGTGAGCAATGAAATACAAAGATATCTTAGATTTATTCCCACTCTTTTAAGTTTTTGCATTACGCTTAGTAACAACTAATTTATGAATTATTCATTTATTATCTGTGATTTTCTCCTGTTACATTGTCGACACAATACATAATTTAAAAATCAATCTCACCAAGTAATATACCGATAATAATAATTAAATTTATGTTCTTGATAAAAAATGCGCACAATATCCACTTTGTCCACCCATTGCAAACGAGAGAGCAGTCGCCCGGATTGCAAAAGGTCATGGGTTCGAGTCTCATCTCAGAGTGCCATGGGCAAAGTGGATTTTTTGAGCATTTTTCAGTATATTATTGTGATTGCAAAATTGATCAAATATCATAAAATTGATTTAATTTTGCCAAACATACTTTATTCGGTTCACATTTCTTTGAAAACCATATCAATTCGTTAAATTAATCAAATTTTAAGAAGGACGCCTCATTCTCTAGTTCAGATTTATAGATGTCAAATGTGGCTTATTATAACGATCCAACTGTAGTTTGATGAGGTTTGCTTATTGCCCGTGGTACCTAGGATACTTGTATAATTGGGTCCTGCTTGGTTCGCTGCCACCCCGAATGAGTGTCGTCTGCTATGCGGACGACACTGGTCACAGCACAGGGTCGTTCCTACTGAGCCGCTAAACGTCTGGCGGAAATAGGAACGGAGCTTTTTATCGGCTGGATAGAGGCTGGGATTACAAGCGGCCGTGAATAGAACAGAGACTTAATGGTAGTTAAGTGGATAAGACAGAGAGGGGCTGCCTGAAGGCGCACATTTGAGAATGAATGGTGTGTTTGATTCGTATTGATCCCCATATTAAATATTTGGGCCTCTGGCTGGACAGTAGGAGGAGCTTCCGTTTGGCGCAGATACTATCCGGGCAGATGCTTTTGGTATCTGCACCAAATTGGGAGAGAGGACACACCACTGTGTCATCACTGTGGTGCTGCGGAGGACATTGCGCAACACACCCACGAGGTGTGCAGTGCATGGTCTTCCAAAGGCTACGCGTTGATCTTAGTGGTAGGCCAGGACCTGTCTCTCCCCAACATAGTTCTGGGAGTCAGTCTCTTCCTTCTTCGAGATCGTGATGTCGCAGAAGGAGGACGCGAAGAGAGCCCGTGAGCTGGCAGCCCTCGCAGCTGTAGTAGGACGGGAGGCGAAGGCGTCGCTTTGCGCGCCCACTCCCGTCCTGAGGTCAATTCCCCAACCCCGGGGTCTTCCTTCGATTCGGTCTGCGTCCTCTGTCTCGGACTGGTGTACAACTGCATATTTGTAGTCGGAAACTGGCGGAGTGTGTTTACCGGATCGGTTCCGTTGTATTCCTTTATAGATTATTTTCGTAAATCATGTCTTAACAAGTTTTTGTGCATTCCTGTATCTATCGACTGGTTCATATAATACTTGTTATAATACTATATAATACTTGTTGTTCAATTGTTTGATGAGTTGTTTGAATTGTTTGATGAGTAGCTCGGTGGCGAAGTGGATAAGCGCCGCGACACGCGATCGTTGTCGCTAAGCAACTTTCGCAAGGGTCGGTCACGGCATAAACAAACAACAAAGTTGAACAAACTTCAATTACATTTTTCTTTTGTTTAGACACTACCAACACAAATTTTGAGCAATGATACTGCTCACAAAGGCATTGCAAATCCTGATTATCTACTTAGATAGCTATTCAAAATTCAAACGCAATAAAATGATTTATGTAAAAGTTGTAATACATAACACTTAACTGAAGTTTGTTTCTACAATTAATTACATCAATTCGCAAATTCGTCATTGAAATCCAGCCCCATAGCGGCACAACTGTGTGCAACATACATAGTGCGTTATGATTTTAAGACTATTTAAATAATACTATTACTATATAATACTACCACTATTACTATTGTTTTTCTGGAAAAATCTTTGATAGTTAATAACATTTTAAAGCGTTTTTCATAAAAAAATGAGTTTTTTGTTTTCACTTTGACGTCCAATATCTCCCAGGACGTGGTTTCCCAGAATTATTCTAGAACAAAAGTTGTCAGTATTGATGACCTCGATATGTACCTTTCTGCGTCGTCATGAATCTTGTTCCATCCGTTGTAGCTTACAATAATGAATCAATTAAATTTTAAATTTTAGTGGCTTTTAAGTACTAAGTGAAAAAATGGGGGCGCTAAAGATAATTTATTCTCAAAGTGGGCAGTAGATAAAATAATTTTATTATTTTATTGCAAGTCATGTTAATTTGTAATTGAAAAAAATCATGTCATTAATAATATTATTAATAATACTTTTTTCATAGATATGCCGTTCCTGTAGTGGACACAATCACGGAAGACAATGTGAAAATATGGAATGTCCAGTATTCTGGAGAACATTAGGCGCTGAACAAAAACTGGCGGAAGAATTAGAAGTTGTTACACATCTAGAGACACAATTTTCAGGAGAAAACATGAATTTCTAATGTATTTTAAGAGTTACATTTCTACTTTGCAGAACTGTTTTATGCAAAAATATTTAATTGAGTGAAAAATTATGATATAGTTATAATTGTTAATACAAATATTTTCTATTATATTAAGTCCAATTAAACAATATTGTTTTATTAAATACTTACAAATACGGGGTATTAGATGCGATTTTACACTGACCTACGCCGACGATTCGACCGGGAAAGACATCCTTGGAAGTGCCTACGATGTCACTCACTCTTATACCTGGAGTATAAACTGTCGGAATGGAGTACTCATGTAATACGTGGCCGATCTTGTCCGTCACTCCCTTGACATATAGGCTGTCTGTCTACTCACCATAGGATGCATATACATCTTCACTGGTATTGTCGTCTCATCACTTGGTAACCGTTTCTATGTAGAACCTCCTGAACATGCTGTAGCTCCTGCTTTAAATACACACAGAGGTCGTATGCTCTATTCTTCAACTAATTTACTACAGATTGCAGGTGACGGGGGTGATGTTTAAATTTTGCGTTTAGGTATCTATCCGTGTGCGTTAATTTTCGGTATACACAGCGTGTTAGGGACCCATCAGATCTCGCGGTTCGTATGTAAACCGAATATTCGGTTGAATGGAGTTTAGGTAGTTAAGGAGTAAATGTATTTCCTTTTGGCCACCCCTGGCCACGCTAAATACGTCTTCCAAATGTTCATTATACTAGAGACAGATTGTAGCGCCTTTTCTTCAAAATACTCCATCCAAATGATGGCAAGTACTGGGGCCACTGGACTTCCCTTTGCTACGCCATCAATTTGAAGGTGATATTGACCTTGGAAGAGGAAATATATAACCCAGAAAATGCTTTTTTTTTCAGTCTTATCGACGTTTAAGAACCAAGACCATCTATTTACACTTCTGGTGATTTTGACTTTTTGATGTAGTTCTTTTCATGATGAATTTCCGTATCGTTTCCTTTAATCGATTACCTTAATTCGCAATAAAGAAGGAGTTCTGAGAAAATACCAATACTACCTGAGTTACATGTCGTAATAATTGTATGGAAATACCCCACCTATCTACACAGAACACGTAATTACTTGCTCTTATTGCGAGTTGAAAAATGAACCGCTATGCGTTAGAGTGCAATATAATAGGTCTTATAGGGCTCTACAGACTCACGACGAGAAGCCCCGAGAACACTCGAGCAACGAGTATGTGATATGTTTCTCGCCTTTTCGTTCTCAGGACCGCGTCTTTAAAGAAATGTCTCGGCCGAGAAAGTGAACAGCATCATATTCTCATTTGAATACAGAGCTTCGAGAGTTAATTTATTTGACTAATAGTGTGCTCATTGGATATTAAATGACCTTGTTCTCATTGGAAGAATTTATACCAAAGCGCCTTTTCTAGCAGTCGTCCATATCCGAGAATGGAGAGGTCTATTGAGAACTCACCGTGAGTGTGAACAGGGCAACTATTTCACTTCAAGTCTCGTCAAGAAGGCATTTAAATTTATATATTTCTTTATCAGGGTAACACTCGCCCCTTCCATTATACTGCTACTAACGATAAGCATTGCTGTGTAACTAAAAATTAAAATTAAATTGTTAATTCAATAAAATTGCCCGCTTTTCATTTATACAAGTATGTTAAAGTAGGTACTAAGGGTTATACATCACGCGGAGTGTATCGGATGAAACAATATCAATAGATTCCTATGAAACACCTATATAGCGTAGGTTATAGCTACGACTACGGCTACGTCCGTGAGTTAGGTGGACGCGCCCCTGGTGGCGCAGAAACAAACTTTCTGCAATAAATATGTTTGATTATAAATATGATATATTCTGAGTATTTTTATGCACTAATTGCTATAAATTTAGTAAAATAAAAAATGTGCTAGAAAAGAATTGTCACCAGTTTTACTTTTTCGTTTTACGATTCGTTACCACACATTTAATTTTGCCTAAATGATAAAAAGTCTTTTATTTTTGTTTTAAAATTTAATGAAACTAAGAGGTTTTGTTAATGGCATTAATCTACCTTATTTCAAATATTATTTCGTTTACCAATACCATCTACATTACAGTTGGCTGCGTAAACATACACAAATATTTTAACTAATACCAGCTATCTACAGTAATTTTGAAACTAATGAAGATTTCTTGAAATACACGTAAACACCTTATTTCCCATACCCGTCCATTAAACGATCAAATATAAAAATAAAGAAAGTTGTTGTAGAAAAAATAGAAAACGTTTTTTTCGTCTCCTGTAAAATAGAATTTTGTAAATAGATGGTCTTGGTTCTTAAGCGTCGTTATGACATGTCGGAAACGCCGATGGGCAGTTGAACTTTATCATTAAAAATTATAATATTATAGGTCAGTTGCACAAACGTCCGTTAAGGTTTAATGGCGCCTTTAAGCTATAATGAATGTCAAATTTGTATGGGTAATGTCGCTTTAAACTAATACATTTTTAATGGACTTTTATGCAGCTGACCGTTTATGAACCCAGCACGCGAACCCAATGTGGATTGATGGATGTTAATGACTGCTGGTACCGGGACTAGCGGCTTAGTGTAGGGGCACAAGCTACTAAGTTTAGGCCACCCAGGATGGGTGCAATTTCGAAAGTTCTTTAATCTCTGCATCTCAAAGGAAAAACACCAATCTCAGCAGCATCGTGATTTTTGAAAATAAGACTTATTAAATAAAAATTCTTCAACATTCATTTATTAATTTATATCACTAGCAGTATTCAACTCATTTTTCATTATATCTAATTTCATAAGAAAACATTCTTTAAATTTATTGTCACGGATTTGATTTATTAAATAATCATGAATTTGTTTATGTTCATCCACAGTACAAAGTTTAAAAAGTGTAATGAGAATATTTTGTAGTCTTGTAGAAATTTTTTCTTGTTCACAGTAAATGTACATGTTTCTAATCAACAATGATAATAATCTCATTTTTGGGTGTAATCTCCAAACACACCAGCAATAACTGATCCAATTTTCGAGACACTGAAAACAACATTTAAGTAGGTAAATATGATATTCACGGTACATATGGCTTGGTAAAAGTAATCGTTGCCAGTATTGATAAAGATAATGTACTGTACAAAGGTGGAAATAAAAAATTGATTATGACTGCCCTATTATTTTATATTAAAAATGTCTACTCTCTTACATACCTCTACAACATCTTCCAGTAATATTTCACCAACAGAAGGATTGCTACTAATATCTAAATTATCACATATTACAATTAAAAACATTCTTTTCTCTTTAACACAGTTAACACCATGCATTGGTATCAACTTATTAATAAAGCAGAATAATGATTTCTTTTTATATAAATTTGTTTCTATATATAATTGTTCCAAAATTATATGAATTTTGTCATCAATCATAATAAGCTGAAAAATATAGATATAGTCAGTAATAAAACAGTGAAAACCTTAAATAGGAACTAAAAAAAATATTTTCAGTAAACCTTAGCATTTGAGGGTATACTTTTAAAGAGCTTTAAAAAGCAATCGAGCACTAATTCCAATACTTTAACATCCTTTTCTGTGATTGATTTCTCTAATACACCATTAATAACTTCATAATAATTTCCGACTTGAAAATGTTCTGGTGTCTAAAAAATATAAGCATAAAATAAGGAAATTGTAGAAGGATTTTATATCAGCATATAAATATAATCTACTTTCAAATAAGTAGAACTCTAGTAATCCATGGAAGATATAACAAAATTGTTATTTTTTGTAAAAATTCCAAGTCAATTATAGCATGCACTTATACATAAAAAAGTAATAATTATGTGAATGCTGTTTATCTACAAAAAAAAAGAAAGTTAGACAGGGTGAGGCAGAGATTTGCTGGTTGAGATCTAAAACATTACCAGACATTCCAAAATTGAAGAACAGCATTGTAAACCTTTAATTTTGTTTTCAACCACAAAATCATCTATCAAAATCAGTGATATTGGCAATAATGAAGTTGGTTTCAGAGTCACTGGATATTCCTGAAATAAATTTTGACATACCATAATGCATATATAATATATATATATATTATTTATATTTATATATATATTCATATATATATTATTTGTCTTACATTTCATTAAAACTTCTCATTATTTCTCAAAACAACAAACATTTATTTGAAAAGCTTCAATTGGATTGGTATCAATATTTAATAATGAATATACATTAACTAGACAATTTATTGTAAGATATATTTCATTAAAGTTATGCTCACCTTCAAATTTTTAATAATACCCTGATATACATCAATTAGAACTGGATATTTTTTGAAATCCTCAACAGTCAATTGTATATGTAACAGTTCAATAGTTTTATCAAAAACTTCTTGTGTATTGAATATTTTATTATTTTCGTAAGTAAGCAATGTCTCCAGTGATATATCATATAATAAATTAAATTGGAGATTTAATAATTTCAAACAATCTTTAACTTTAACAGATTGCCATCGATCACTGCGTAACTCATAATACAAAATCATCAAAGAAGCGATCACAGTGGAGTTATTGGTTTTTTCATACAAATTCAAACTAGGTAATAAATCACTCAACTCTGTAAAACTTATCGTCAAGTTTTTTTCCCATAGCTCAAATTCGGGATGACTGTCGCATTCTTCTAAATTACGACGAAGCTTAGGAAGGCGACATTTATTTATATAATTTAGAACTTCTGTAACTATATCCATGTTCATAAAATACTGAGCTTGACTCTGTGCACAGAACAATATACTCGACTCGACGAGTCTCTGTGACAGGTGTCAATGAAACCAATGAAGTAACTTTGAACAAGCGTCATGTTTACAATCAGAAGTGTTCAAAGCGACTAAAAATCATTAACACGCGCTATACACTAATGATAATTTATTATATTTTGATTAATTAATTTTGCATTCACAATGCTATACTGAAAATTATTCTTAATAGAAAATGCTTAAAAAATCCACTTTGTATTAAGAATAATGATAAATTTTTTAACGTGTTAATGACGGCGCTAATTTATTACCGTTAAATCAAAGTTGTGTGTGGGTGCGTGAAGACTCGTTAAATTTTGCGAATGAGGTATACTAAAATGAGGAAGTATTAAAAAAATAATATTCCCGAAATCAAACTAGATATCCCTACGGTACGTTCTTGATTTCTCCATGACAACCTTTCCGATTTTCTTTCATATTTAAAAGTGAATTAGTTTTCAAAACTCAATTAAAAACTCATATTCTAGAGTCTGGCAAGCGAAACGTGTCACAAGAAAAGGGCGGCAATTTCAAAAATTCTTAAGCAGTAAACACTGAATGTAGTACTGCAAAATAATTTTGATACTTTTATTAATTATATTTAATCTTAACATTTAGATATCAATTAAAATTATTTGTTTTGGAACATTTGACTAAAGCGTGACTGTTCTTAATTGTACAGTTAACAGCATATCAGTAGGCCTATTCACTAACTCAACTGACAACCAAGAATCGTCATCACCGTAAAAAATAGACACTTTGATTGTGTCAAAATCACTATTTCGTATTCTCTATCAATGATGAGCAATTTCGAAATGTCAATATCGGCATTCTCCACTGGACTCCATTTTGACACTTGATTTCGTATCGATAAACTGTATTAAAGTAACATTGTTGCAAAGCATATTTGAAGTCGTCGCATAGTACCTCTTAAGCCATTTGTTGTTAAATTAAAGCGAAAAAAAATACGTATCCAATATTTTTCTATTATCTGACTGACGGACTAAATCGAATCTTTTTTTTAACCCATTCGTTATACCTATTGGCTAACAGCACTTATAATATTAAAAATTCATATTTGTCATTAATTAAAAGGGTGTTTTTTGCAACGACTTCTTTGTTTTTTTGTAATGAATATGGGCGACTCTGGCCACATTTTTTTAATAAATGTGATGTTAGCCAATTTTGATTTCTGGCCCTTATATTTATAATGTGTTCATAACACATACATGTCTCCTAAGGGATTTTCATCACAACCTTTTGCTCTGATCCAGAACCACTATCTATCAAATTAAATTAGTCAATATAAACACCAGATTACAATAAAAAAAACATTTATTTTTGTTACAATTAAGTGCCATGGATAAATTACATAATACAGGTGTCACAAAATCATCATGTTAATCACAATAGAAAATTTAAGATAAGATTTTGACTATGAATCAGACTAAAAATACTTTAGTCTGATTCATAGTCAAAATCTGTTTCTAAATATTCTACACCTGATAACAATGACAAGGAATCATCAGAGTCACTCTCTTCACTACTGTCTGCACCAACAGATATAATAAATTTTTCAAGTTCGTTTTCAACAATGCCATCTTTTAATTTGTAATCATTTTCGACATTTAAAACATGATCAGTGTATTTCTTCCAGTCACTAGGGGTAATTAAGTTAAAACACTCTATTATTAAGTTTTCCATTTCCTTTCCTGGTATTCCAATGTTTCTGCTTGCAATTTTTCTTTTTGCTTGACTCCAAACCATCTCTATTGGGTTTAAGTCACAATGATACGGTGGCAGCAATAAAAGTTCATGATTATGTTCTTTTAAAATCTCTTCAGCTTCATATACAGGCAATGTTTTCTTATCATTAACCAAACACATTAACTCTGCCTTTGTCTGATATTCCTCAAAATGTATTCCATTATTTACAAGCCATTTACGGATATCTGCTTTGGTATTAGACATTATAGGCGGTTTATTGATTTGTTTTATATGGTAGCTGGCATTATCCATAACAATTACACTGGGCTTACTTAAATTTGGTATTAATTTTTCTCTGACCCATTTCATAAAGTTCGATGAGTTCATATCATCATGATAATCAGCAGATTTGGATTTACTACTGAACACTAATAATGCACCAGGCACAAAACCTTCCTCAGATCCAGCATGCACAACAATATGCCGTTTTCCAGAGGATATCTTTGTAGTGACACCAGTTGTTGAAGGTCCTTGCCAAGACTTTTTAACTTTATAATTCTGATGTACATAAGTTTCATCAAGGTACACAATTTGCTTTCCTTCGTTTCGTTTTATATTTATTTCTCTCAAATACTTGTGCCTCCATGCAGAAATCTGGTATTTTTCTATAAGCATAGAACATTCATTTTCATTGCTTTTAAAAGAAAATCCATTCTTAAGCATAATTTTTCGTAAAGTCTCACGGCTACCACTGAATCCTATTGCATCTTTTAATTCATTGTGAAGGCTTCTTAATGTTGGAACAATTTTTTTCACACAGTAAAATTCATTTACTTTATTCCGAATTGCACTTAAATCAAAATTATCTAAAGCAGACACTGTTGGTTGATGAGGTCGTTTTTTCCCAGGAGTGTCCCATTTTCCTTTATTAATTAATGCTTCATTTTTTATCCTTCTTAGTGTCCTTATACTTACATCTATAAAAGATTAAACACTTTGAAACAAAGATATGTTAAATGTATTTAAAAGCAAATAATGATAGACACATACATCAAAATAATTTAAATACCTATTCAACTATGAATGCAATTTATGTTTAATTTAGTTAAGTTTATGTGCATATTTAGCATGTATAACAATTACATGGTTTGATTAGTTTCATGAATTCTGTGAATTTCCTTGTTAAACAAAACATTCTTATGACATCATTGGATGTCAACAATAAAAACCAATACATCATAAAAAACCTATGTAAATATTATAGGAATACTATCAATCTATCTTAAATCAAAACAAGAAAAGAGACCTGTCATTGAAGAAATTTTTTGTAAGTACTGCGTTTCCGAATTCAGCATTTCTTGTTTTTCTAAAGTTTTTATTGCATTTATCTCCTCCATTATTGGTTGAATATCACCATCACAGTTATCTGAAATAGAGCAATATTTTATAAAAAATATCTGTTTAGTTAATTACAGAAAATTAAAACGAAAGTATCAAAATTATAATACAAAACTAACCTAAAAAAGATACAACTTTATCTAATCGTTGTAATTTCTCCATGAAATTTTTATTTAATTCAGTTTTCACTTCAGTAAACTTGTCAATCATGATGGAAAGAAGTTTCCTCGATGAACTTTTTATCGGCTTCGACATAATTTTTAACCAAAAACACAAGTTCAAATTCGCAAAAACAACAAAATTCAATATTCTTGAATTGTCTAACGTAGTGTCAAACTGACAGTTCTATGTTGTTGCCATATGAAAACGGAAAAATAGGTGGTGTCACGTTTCGCTTGCCAAACTCTATTTATACTTTTTGGTATTTGTATTGATTTCTAAGTTTCGAACTTTCAAATTTCAGTTTTTTTTAAAGTTAGTTAAAAGGAACGGTAATGACTGTCTTTGGTCCATTCGTTTCCTGCAAAAATCAACTTTTGCTAGAGTCGCCATCTAGTGGGAGGTGCTTTTTTAGTGCTTTCGATTTTTTTTTAATACTACCTCACTTCTGGAGACGGGTTTGGCAGTTTTTAAGTAGTACTAGGCAGATTTACCAAAGGCGTCGTTGAACGATTAATAACGATCGAAAATAATTTATGTTTCCAAAACATACGCTAATCATACTTAGCGCTTTACTCTGTTAATTATACACACATTAAGGCATTAAAAATTTAGCGTGTTAATGCGCAGCGATCATCAACGCCCGCGCCTGGGAAGGCACAACGACTTATTGTCTTAGCATGTTTAATACAATCGAACAAATCCTATATCGATACGAGCGCTAGAAGCGAAACGAAGCCGATCTTGCATCAACGTGAAGGTGTGATTGTTAATGGATGCGTTAATGATTTATTCTTGTAGCATGTTGAATATGATTCTATATTATTAATACAGTTTAAAAATAAAAAATATATGTTGTTAAAATTTAAAGTTTCATTTTTTAAACAAATATGAATTAAAATATATTTTTGGTGATATGATTAATTATGATAAGTGCATATTTATAATAAAGATGATAATGTTAGAGAATATAAGGGCAAATTTCAAAAAAGGGATGTAAAATTGCAAACAAATGTACGTAGTTCATTAACTTTAATTTCTGAATAGAATAAAATATACTTTACTTTACTTTAGCACGCGCTCAGTTCAAAGATCGGTATGTTATAAATGACGTGCTACAAGATTTAGTGTACTGATTGGTTTAATGCGTTTCTCGCGCACCCTTTTTATTGTGTATTTAGCACATTAATAAATTGAAGAAACACGCACATTTTTTATAGCAATAAAGTATTTGACGCTTTTCTGAAAACTATTTTAAACGATTGTTCGATACATTATATTTCTGTCTATATAAATATTTCATGAGAATCTGTTCTATATTCGATGATAAGAAACTCATTTCACAAAAAAATTAATTTTTATCTTTATTATTGCTTTCAACTACATAGTAAAATGTACTTAACTAATTGTGATTCAGTTGTCAGAGGGAACATAACAGCGTCGAATAGAACTGCATCGTTCAGGGGTAGTTTTCGCTACGCAGCTTCTAAAATATGGAATAACTAGGGAATGCAATCTCGTTCGCGCGAGATCTCGGCCTTTTTTTAGCGAGATTAATCTCGGTCGAAAAATGGGCGAGATCTCGCGAGTTTAACGAGATTGCACTCAAATACACAAATGTCTTATTAGAAGCGCGGCAGCGTGTGAACTCATACGGAGCTGCGATCTGTTTTGAAATTAGTCACAGCATT